GAGAGCGAAACAACTTCCTGTTAGTTTGTCATGTAGCAAAGAGCTGTATGAGTCTGCTGTCGCGCTACTTAAGTCTTCGAACCGTGGCAGTGCACTGCTATTTAATTTAACATCATCATAAAAGACAGTTAAATGTGATCTACAAATTTATATAAATCGTATCATAAGTTCTTAGCGGATAACAGGACTATTGACCTATCATACTAACTTCGCGTGGTCATTTCCGACCAGAGGAAGTAATATAAATACATTACTACATGTAGTATATGGTGGGCATCTTCTGTCGCACTGAATTGTGCAGTATTGTGAATTCCAAATTTGCCACTTTGGTTCTATTCAACGAGTCACCCACATACAAATTCCCTGTTATTTCGAAACCGCAATGTCCTGTACCGCCTACAGTCCAAATCGTACTTAATCGGGCCGATACTCAACCCATGTATTTTCCGCGATTACTGTGCGGTTCACTCAAGTAGAAATTTCGAGTAGAACCCACTAAACATGTGGACAGTCAACGAACCAAGAGATAGAAAATATTTCCAGTTGGCAGCAAAGACCACGCGGCGAGGGTTGAGTTCAAATATTACATTACCTACTACTATTTTTCTGCTGTCGACAAACACACCAGCAGCACCGGTGACGATCTGCAGCACAGGAGGCATGACGAAGCCACATGTACATGTGGGAACTGAGTTTTGGTGACGAGCATTACGTTCATCACTTGTTTCCTCTACAAAATGACTGTGCTGATACACTACAGAGCACAAAGCGCCAGTGGACGAGCAAATCAAGCGAAAGCAGCCGCATATGTAGTTCCCCTAAATAGTCTGAGGTCTGAAACTCTCCCACCCGGAATTCATCGTCCTGACGCATGAATCTGAACTCTAAACATAGCGCGATAGAGCGCACGGCTCAGGACGTAGTTGTGTAACAGCATCGGCTTACATTTTGTGCAAAGTGCAGCAGGTTGCATGCTGCCTGCAATAAGAAGCAGCAGCTACAGCAACAGCAACTGCAACTATTAGTCACCAACCGCAAATTTTGGTCCAGCGTTTAGTCCATTATGTCACGTGAGCCAATCCCAACGAGACTCTTTACAAATCGCAAGGTACGCGATGGATCACTAGAAATTTGTATGATCCCCCATCGCTCTACTGTCTCTTTTTTATTGTTGATTACAGTATGGGTAATTCCATTTCCGCTGCGGATAGGTCTGACAACGAGGTTTTTTATCTCGTGGAAGGACGAAACATACTTTACGCAATATAAAAATATGCTCGGAGGTTTTTTGCTGTCGTTTTTTTTCCGCGGCCGTTCGCTGGCGAATGCCTCACTCGAGTAAACTCGGAGAATCAAGAAGTCCTCACCGGCCTACGAGTACCATGAGCCTCCGTGGACGACCGAGCAACCCCAGCGGAGCCTCCAACCCGCGTCTCTCGAACTCTCTGCACCGCTGTGCCATCGCGTTGTGCTCGAACCAGGCCGTCGCTGAGGGGGTGTGCTCCATGCATCTGTCACGCAACGGCCGCGTTAGCGGAGGCCAGGGCGTCGTCATGGACAGTCGTGCCATGGGCGTTCGAGGCCCGCCCCCGTCATCTGCGGGCATGGGAGACGGCATGGCCGACGACCGATACTACCGCGCAAGTGCACACGCTGCCATGCAACCTCGCGCTGGCCCCTCCACTAAGAAACACAAGCCGTCGCCCGCCGAGCCGGTGAACCGCTACGTCATGGACAACTCTGGTTCTAGCGGTGGCCTGACGCGCGAAAGTCTGAACGAGATGGTCAACCAGATGCAGTACTCGAAGAACACGAGCATGTCAGCCTACGAGAACGACCCGTACGTCTCCGCACAGGCCTCAGGCAGCGCCAACGGCTCGAACCGTTCTGAGTCGGACGGTTCTGTGGACGAGACCAACCTCCGCCGTGAGCGTAACCGTATTGCTGCACGCAAAAGTCGTCAACGCAAGCTGGACCGCATCTCGAACCTCGAGGACGAGAAGATGCGCCTTGAGCAGCACCGCGACATGCTCGTGCAGGAAATCCGCAGTCTGGAGAAGAAGGATTCGGGGGCCGCCTCTAACGTGGTGCTGACCATAACGGACAAGGAGTACCAGCAATTGCAGAACAAGCGTCTGCAGATCATCAAGCACGTGGAGGAGACCTACAACTCGGGCGACATCCTCTCCACAGTCAAGTACTTCCGCGACGACTCAATTGTCAGCGGCCCCCAGAACTCATCGGTGCATCTGCGTGGCAAGGACGCTCTGGTGCTGGACTACCTGTGCACGACGTACCTGTTCGGTGACGTGCGTCTGCACCACGCCAAGGTGGACTGCGGTGGTCCACGCAGCCAGCACTTTCGTGTGCACTGGGCGCTGTCCGGCACGATCAAGAGCGCCGGCGTCAGCATGAACAAGGAGTTCCTCGAGCTTATCGAGAGCGTGAAGGGCCGCCGCGTCACCATCGAGGGTGTGAGCAACTTCTCGTTCAGCGGTGACAAGATCGTGTACGTGCACCGTACGGCTGACCAGGCCAAGTTCCTGTCGGCGCTCGTCAACCTGAGCAAGCGGTAAGCGGGCAATCAGAGCAGGTGGGGGCTCTCAGCATAGTCGACCGTCTAGCTGACAGTAGTGATGAATGCAAACTAGCCATATATATGTGTATTTTTTTGCATGAATGTTCTTTTGTTGCCATTTCGTCTCCCTCTATTGAACGGCTTGTTGGAGGATTTATACCTACTGCTCCTCCTTTTTACCTAGAGCTCCTCTTTCACAGAACCTTGGGCAACAGGCTTCTTGTGGCCATCGCACGTTATGGCTTGGCGCTTGGGGAGCTTGTAGAGATCGCGTAGGTAGTCGAACACCTCGGAGCAGTTGCTTTCCTGAGGCAGGACCCAAGTACATCAGCGATAGAGATCAAACGAGGGAGTTCTTATGTGTTTGACAGCAAACCTGATAGCGTTGGCAGGATCCTAGCGCGAATGGCTCCACGTGGCGGATAAACTCGCGTGTGCGCGCTGCAAGAAAGAAGGCAAACACATGATTGTCAGAACACGTAATGTCGTCTGACGTTTGCGCGGAAGACGAGGATCAACACGTACAGACGCCTGGGAACTCTCGGAAAAAGCGATCGTGAAGCAGTCCCATGCGGTGAAAGTACACGAGTTTGCGGTACCTACACCAACGCCATCACGTCACGGTTAGTTAGCTGAGAGCATTGGGCAGTAGCCGATCCAGCTAAACAGTGCAGACCAGTGAAGCAATCGCTGCCAGTCATGGTCGAATTTGCGGTCCCAGAGTTTGTTATTGTGCGAGTGGCACGCTACGTGCTCGGGTGTAACGTCCGGCGGCAACGAGAACTCCTCCACGGCTCTGTTAGACACGCAGCATGTGAAGGATAGTGCGTCAGCTCAATGGTTAGCTCATGTCCGACAAAGCGGCGGACAAACCTGAGCGAGTCCATCATCTGCGGCGTAGCGTACTCCGCATAAAGCGTATTGAAGAGCGAGGCCTCCGTGGTCATCTCCGTGAGCAGTACCATCTTGTAGTAGTACACCATCGTGGCGAAGAGCATGGTTGCCGAGATCAGGAGCGACAGATTCGAGCCCATGGCGAGCGAGCTTAGATTTCAAGTGCCTTTGGCTCACTTTTGCTGAGCATACAAACGTCAAGTCACTCGTGGGTATAAATAGCCACCTCTTGAAATCGCTGTGTCAATTCATCGCCTTCTACAGGATAGCTGGCTGTCCAGCCCGATACAAGATGCGCAGTATCACCGGGCTACTAATCCCCGCATACTGTATACATATTATCCATGAGCTTGCGGCGGTGGTGCCATCAGCAGCGGCGTTGTCCAGGATACCGCTTTAGCCGCGTTGCAATTCTTGTACTGATCAGCAATGACAGCGGCTGTGCCTTCAAGCATGATGGTTCACGTGAAAACCTCCACCACAACTATCGCGATCACGCGCGTTGCGAGCAACACCCACTTCTGCTGATGCGATTCAATTTGACACTTGCATTCGCAGCGATGAGGGTAGTGATGGGTGAGTTATCACAAAGGCAAGATCCAAAGGACCGGAATGAAGGGTCACAGCGTCCCCGCCACTCGTTCGTACTGTAGGTGAATCTTTTCGACGAAAGACCGTATGTCGCGAGGTTCCTGTCACATGAGTCTCGCCCCGAATTGGTAAATCCGGAAGCTCAGTGGATTTTGCACTGCAGCAAAAGATGCTACGTATCTACAGGATGAAGCCTACAGAAGTAGCCTACAACAGAATAGTCATCCCGAATGGTGCTCGAGAAATTTTCGTTCAGCGGCGTTGGTGCTGCACCAACGTCTTGATTGCACGCCGAGTATTCGGAAATGCAAGCCCGCCGCTATCGAGGCAGCAGGCTCCAGCGACTACAGCGTTGCCATTGCCAAGAGCAAACAAACAGAAACTTTATATATCATTCTTCGCCGCGAAAAACAAAGCAATGCAGACGCCGCCGGATTCGGTTGCAGTTGTAGCAAGTTCAACACGACGCGTCGGCTTTTCATCAAATCATCAAATTTAGCTCAGCGACTTGGCGTGGCTAAAATCATCGATTGGCTGGATGCAGCATCGAAACCGCTCTTTACACAGCCCTAATCTCGCTGGCGGGGTCTGACGGCAGATGCACAGACGACACACAGCAACCACTCGCCCAGCTCGGACTCGTACGCGCTTGCGCCTGCGAGAGAACTCGCATCGCCTTTGCCCCATATGCAAGCCAGCGGAGACGCCCAGCAGTCCCAACCTAGTAGCCTCCCGCCGCAGCCGCCGTCAACTTCACCGTCCGCCCCGTCAACCGTCCCACTCGGCCGGAAGAACAGTGCCGACGACCTGGTCGCCGAACTTACGGCGTCGCCTCCCGTCCACACGCCGTCAGACGCGCGTCTATTATATCGCGAGTGGCGCACGGGCTCACACGTAGGCGCTGACCTCGCCCGCTTGGAAACCGGCGAACTCAGCAGTAGCAACAGCATGAGCGAGGACGTCCTCAGTCACTCGCCCTTCGGTGTGTACGGCCGCTCGCCCAACTCGCTCCCGCGGATCTCCGAGCGTCTCGAGAACCTACCGCTACGCGCCAATGCGCCACCAGCCACGCCTATGGCTCCACAGGACGTGGACGCCCGTGCGCGGCTCCTATCGCAAAAGATTGCCGCTATGGACGCGGCTCAACCTGGAACAGCAGCGATTGTAAAATCCCAATCTGGATCTTTCGGCTCTGTAGAGTCCAGTGAGCCTGCTACAGGTATCAAGAAAGCGCTGAGCTACCAGGCCCTAGCGGACCTGGAGAAGAAGGGATACTTCCCCGTCGCACCCAAGCCGTCGGCTCTTGGCGTGCAACGAGGACTCAAGGACTCGGTGGTCAACGACATGTGCCGCGCTGTCGTTAAACACATGGTGGGCGACGTGTACGTGTCTGCGTCTGGCTCCTATGGCCAACGCAAGGTCCTCAACCACCTGTACGAGCCCGTGTTCGCCTCTGTGCAGGCGCATTTCCGTCGTCTGCCTGCAAGATACGCGCTGTCCGTGAACCCGGATGACGTGCCAATGCACATGCGTCTGCTTGCTCAAAACCAGCGAGACCCGACGGCCATCGCAGTCAATGCTCAGCTTAAGAAGGACGACAACGGAGAGTACGTTTGCCACTGTATTATGCTTTTTTTGATGTGGAATTAATGTATCTGTTGTCTGCAGGATCGTGCCTAATGTATGCGAAGTGGTGGTGGTGTCATTGGACCGAGAGAACATTCTGGACGCTATTACACGCGCGCTGACCACGATGAAGGGAAATATTTTGGACGCCGACGTGATGACCACGTCGGACGGCACGCTACTGGATCGCTTTGTGGTTAAGGGGTCATTTATGAGTGAAGAACGTCAAGAGGAGCTACGTACCAACATCGAACAGAATCTCCGTAGACTTAGTATGGAAGAAGACCCACGACCAAGTGCTGCTAGCTCGCAGGACTCGGCGGTTAATGAGAACGTAAGCCTGGCTGAAAAACTGGGTGTGTTGCAAATGGTGGACAAGAACGAGATCAAGGCGGAATGGAAACTGGACCTCAACGAGGTGCGACTGGAGAAGGCAGTAGGCAGCGGTCGGTCCGGCAACACGTACAGCGCCTGGTGGCGAGGCACACACGTCGCCGCGAAGGTCGTCGACTCATCTGCAAACACTCAAGCGGTTGGTGAAGAGCTGCTGAACGAATTCCACCGCGAGGTGGCAGTTGTCAGCAAACTGCGCCATCCCAACATTGTGTTGTTCCTCGGAGCGGCCATCAACCCGCCCCGTTACTGCTTAGGTAAGCTCTGCTAGTGAGTGGGTGAATGCTCTTTCTCTCTCTGACTTGGGGTGTTGCATATTGTCTGCAGTATTTGAGTTCATGGAGAATGGCACGTTGACGGATCTAATTCGTGCTCGACGAGGACCCATCGATTTCTTCCGTCTCGTGTCAGAGATGGCGATGGTGCGTTTGCTACTAACACCCTGACTCTACCAGCAGTATTTCTAATGTTTTTTTTTCTTCTTTAGGGCATGAACTATCTTCACTTGTGTTCAATTATGCACCGAGACCTCAAGTCCGGTAACGTTCTCATCGATTCGCATGGCACTGCCAAGATCTCCGACTTTGGTCTTAGCTGTGTGCTGGAGATCGGTAGCTCCTCCGACCTCACCGCTGAAACAGGGACGTACAGGTGGATGGCCCCCGAAGTCATTCGTCACGAGCCATACTCTAGCAAAGCAGACGTCTACAGTTTCGGCATTGTGTTGTGGGAGCTGCTGGCAAGAGACCAACCGTTTCGTGGCTTGACTCCAATTCAAGGTGAGCAGCGTTTGCACCTAACTTCAAAATGTGTGTCAACCTCCTAACCTTCCAACTACTGCATCTGTTGTAGCCGCTTTCGCCGTTGCTCGCCAGCAAATGCGTCCTGCGCTGCCTCGCCAGACGCCACAGAAAATCGGCGAGCTTATTGAGCACTGCTGGCATCACGACCCAGCTCGTCGACCCGACTTCGGGGCCATTCTGGAGGCCCTGCCGCTGGTGAAAAAGTCGCTGAAAAAACGCGACTTCAAGAATATGGGAATATTGTACGTTGCCCCTTAAAGCGATTTAGACGGAGCCAGCGCTGTGTACGCCTCGTTCACCGCGTTGCTCTCCTCGTAGTTTTTTTATCCCACTAATGGTAAACTAGAAAAGTATTAGCTCGACCTCGTATTGCCAACTACCTAGTAGCTATTTGTGCGCCTTGCGCGTCCGTTTCGATGGCTTGTGTTGTTAGTATAACGTTATTGACGGAAGTATGGGTTGCTGCACTGCATGCTTCGGTTGTGCTGTGTTGACGCAGCTAATTGCTGTCGGGTGTTTACTTGCAATCATCCCGGCGGCATATCTTTCGTACGACTACTATCTCAAACCGTGGGCCGAGGATCACTATGACGAAGCTGTCGCTGCAGGGCAAGCCATTGCTTCTCGTGCTGCTAGTGCAGCCGACGATATTGACACTTCCGAGCTCTCGTGTGGTGATTGCTTGGGCGTTAACTTGGAATACCCGATCTCGGGACTAAACACAGACTACTCATCCTTTCAAATATCCGTCATGAATGACGCTGGCGAGTTTCTTGCTGCTGTAACGTCATCGGGTGTTGCCATCGGAGGGATTGCAGCTTTCGCTTCGGCGGTTGTTGGGGCGTTGGCGTCTGCGAGTGCAATGCCGTCTACGAACGGTGGTCTCTTTGAGCTCCTGCAGATGATTGCTCAGGGTCAATTCATCACGTTGCTTGGATCGTTGAACCTCGAAGGTGTACCGGTGTTTTTTATCGAGTTCTGCACAAAGTTTGCTTGGACGAACCTGCACATTTTTCCTACAACCAAAACTACTGATACCACGAGGGTGAGGCATCGTCGGTTGTCGAGTGGTGGAACGGATTCGAGTTTGGATGGCGTAACTCGTTATGCCACGACGCTTGGTGTTGACCCCGAAAATCTTTTTTACTACACGCTGCTGGTACTGTTGGTTGTCTGCGGGTTGGTAGTACTTCTCTACTTTATCGCTCGAACAGCGCTTCACATTTTCAAGAAAGAGGACAGGCCGCTGGCACAAATGCTCAAGAACCGGGTTGTCTGGGTGAGCATCCAGCTATTGCTGCTGCTTCAGTACTCCTTGGCAATGACATCGTGCTTTCAAATATCATACTCCGTTCGTAGCAATGGATCCACAGGCGGTTTGATCTTGGCAGCGATCATCCTCACCACGTCGTGCTTAGGTTTCGCGGTATTTGGTATTTTCATACTCTCACGCTACAAACACGAGCTGAATGATCACGGAACGGATGGGCACGAGAAGAAGCCGTTCAATCATCGGTACGGGTCTTTTTACCAGGATTTCACCAAAGAGAATCGTTTCTTTTTCCTTGCGAAGATGGCATTGGATGTCGCGTCGGGCGCTGTTGTGGGTGCAGGGAACAGACCCATGGTCCAGCTCGGCTTGCTTGTAGCTTTCAACGCCGTCTTCATCATTATCATGGTATTACGACGTCCTTACTTGCTGCGCGTGTTCTACGTGATAGGCTTGCTTACTTCCTACTTGCGGATTGTCATGCTTTTACTCACGCTCGTTTTGGTCTCATCTGAGTTGGTGCCCCAGCGAATCCGCGATTTGATTTCGCAAATCATCATTTGCGTTAATGCTCTCGTTCTGCTTTGCCTTTTCGCGCGGGTGGGCTATACAGCGGCAAAGGCGCTGGCAAAGTGGCTCCAGAACCGGAAGGCCGGCGTCAACGAGATTGACGATGGGGATAATCTGCTCTCTATCGAGAACGCAGTCGGCACTGGTGAGCAGCGTCGTGGCTCCTTGCAACACCAGCCGCAATCACCGCCGGCAGATGGCACGCCGCCGAGTGGCCAAGCGTATCACCAGACAACCGACAAGTTCGATTCCGGTCATTGGGAAATTGCTGGACCCAGCGATCGACACGTCGTATAAGCGTGATGTGGATAGGACCGAAAGCGGCATTAACTCTTTACAGGATCCGAAGCAACAGATACCGGTAGCTCTACATACATGTACCACATTTTCATTTCATGAGAGTCCTCCATTCGCATTTGCAGATTTTCACTCATAGTTGACAGATTTTTTGAAAAAAAAATCAAGGCATGAAATTTATTTTTGCAAAATGCAACAAATCTTGTTCGCGGTTGGCTACACGTCATGGCCTTCCTTTGAAACTGCATCATGGGATTTGAGTGTATCACCTCGCGACTCGCGAAAACTGGCTGTTGCTTCATTGTCTAGCCGCCATGGGGTAGTCGACAACACACTTCGTCACAATCGATCAAGCGCCATGGCAGGCAGGTTCCCGTCTCCCGTTCCGCCGTACCCACCGCTGGTGATGGCGGACAGTGAGCGCGACAGACTTGAGTTTCTTGCGCACCGCCTCATCCACAAGGCACTCGAAGACTACGACACCCATCGCCAAAATGGCTCCAAAGTGGATGCCCAGAGCTGGAAACTCGTTCGCAAAAGCGACCAACTCACGATGTACAAGCGAGCAGAGCCCAGTGCTCTCTATCAACCTCCAGAGGCGCGTCAACCGGCAACAGCAATTCGATCACGGGCGGAGAGTATTAGTATTGTTGAAAACTCAATCACACAAGGTCGTCCTCGTCAGAAAATGCCGATATTGCTACAAGTAGGGGCGATTCAAGGCACACTCAATGAAGTTATGTATGGAACTGTCGCGGTGGACGGACAGGGGATGATGCTCAAGACGGCGTACACGGACGACACGCTGCTCGACGGAGAAACACTGTGCCAATTACGTGGACCTTCAGCTACCCACCCCTTCCGGTTCTTAGGCGTGAAATGGGTCATTAAAGGTACCCCGCACGCCCCTTTGGTTCGACCACGCGACTCGGTTTTCCTTGAAGCCACAGGAATTTTAACGCGTGAGGACAAGGACGAACGTGTAGGATACCACCTTATGCACTCAGTTAGCATCCCCGGGTACGGTCCCCTAGAAGACCGGAAGATTGTTCGTGGACAGATTTCGTCGTGTATCTTGTACACCGAGTCCCCGGATTCTCCTGGTGTGGATGTCTTCATGAAGGCTCGCTTTGATCCCAATGGCAATGTATCCGAGAGCGTTGCCACGCAGTCGGCAGCTCTCGCTCTCATGTACGGCGCCAAAATCAGCGTCTGCGCTCAGAACAAGAAACTTTCCTGGTTACTACGCTCTAGTCCCGACTCCCCCGTCCATCGACCTTCAAGATCAATGAGTATGACTCGACAGCGTAGCTGCCCGATATGTGCCAAAAGTTTCAGCATGTTCAGTGGCAGTGTCGAGTGCGAAATGTGCTCAACGGTTATTTGCTCTGGCTGTTCAGCAAAAAAGAAGCTGGGCTTTGCCCGACCTGGCAGCAAACGGGTGGTTCTGCGCCCCGTCGCCTTTTGTACGAGCTGCCTTACACATGCTCGTCGTTTGAATGTCTTTGACGCAGCTCGACAAGAAGTGTTGGCAGGCTTTGGTGTGGATGAAATAAACGCGTCAATATGTACCACCTCCGTATCTAAAGAACCAAGACCGGATTCGCTTGGAAACGTACACAATTGCCGTCGACGAGACTTGCAAGCAACGAAAAAGGCGCCGGTTATATCGAAAAGTCTACCTCCAGATATCACAAGACACCGGAGTGAAAGTGTCTTGACAAAACAAGATGAAAAGCCCCGGCGCCAGCGCGTTAATACGTGGGGAAATGGCGACGTGGAGTCTCCAACAACGACAAACCGCTGGGTTCGTCTTGAGCGTGAGATGGCGGCATCAACGCAGATTGAAGACCTTGACGACTCGGACGAGTTTGGCGAAATCACAATTCACGAGAGCTCACTAATTAAGGTAGTTGACCCGCGTGACCAGCGTAGTTGCTCGTATCCGACTCCCAATCCGGCCGCTCCAAGTCGCGAGTCGGCTCAACAGGATTTTATGGCTCGAATTATTGCCATGCGCAACGCAGCAGAGGATGCGTACCAAACCACACGCAAGACCGCCCAGGCTCAGTTCGAACAGCTCTCAAAGAATCACAACCGTTTCGGTCACGACCAGGGAACTTTCGCTATCCGGTAATGGATCGACAGTCGTGCTGACAGGCATATCCGTTAAACAGTTGCTTGTACTATCGTAAGGCCGCCCTCATTTAACTGCGCCCTTCGAAGGGCTTTCGTAGAAGCCTCAAGTAGTCAGAATACTTAAACGAAACGGAGATTGAGGAAACGCTGCATCTCTTGACTATGAACGAGACAATAAATCCAGAAGGGATCAGCTAGGACGGACTGAGTGCGTTGGTGCTGACAGCCGCAGCATGTGGCGTGTGTACTTGACAACGTTGTACTAGCACTGCATTGGGTCCTTGGGATCTCTTGGTTTGGCTCAAAAACGAATTTACCTGTTCCTAGGCAAGACTCCACAGACCATGAGCTGGTTGCAGACACACGAGGTGGCTATTCCGTTCTACGAGGTTCGCGCAGGCAAGCAGGTTTTCGCCATCCAACTGCAGGAGCGACCTCTTCGACAGGAGGAGCTGGCACGTAACTGGTCTAGTATCACGAGTACAAGCTCCCAACAGTTTTTACTGGAAGATGAGAGCAACAGTATGGTCGGCAACAGCTCCGGGGTCTGTATCGCAGCTATGCGATCGTATTCACAATTCCGCAAGCTTTGGCGAGACCTGATCCGTGCTACGAAGACGCCTTCGACTGCCTCGTTGTCACGCTCCAACAGCGCCGATCCGACCCACACTGGACGTTCATCGAGCCGGTTATTGGCGAATTCTTTTCAGTCCTTGTCCGTGTCGGAAGTCGAGTCCTCGTCTTCTTGCAGATGCCGCAACTGGAACTGCACTTTTCGCAGTCTCCACTACTTTCTCAAGAGTTATCCGTTCCCATCGAAGTTCCTGATGAAGCGTAACACTCCAGCCGTGTTGGAGAATCGTCGTCAAGGCTTGGAGCTGTTTATCACTACTGTACGAGGACTCTTCGATACCTTCCCTCGCCCATTTCTTCAAAGTGTCGATGCGTTGGGAAACTGTCAGGTGCTGATGGCTCTGAACGCCTTCTTTGACGTTAACGAGAAGCACCAAGTCAACTCAACGCCATGCACTGCGCTGAAACTACCCTCATCTTCAAAAGCTCGATGTAGATCGGGTAGCACCGTTAGTGACACTACCACTTGCTTCAGCAGTAGCAGTCGAAGCGCAGTTAGTAGCAGGGATACCGACAAGGACAGTGGCGCCAATGTATACATCGAAGAAGACCCTCTCACCGGATCTGGGGTCGAGTATTACCTCCGAGATGACGATTCAAACTCCAGCAACGATAACTCTAACGACTCAGATTTTGATCTTCAAGAGCTTGAAGATTTCCCAGCGTTCGGTGCCAGATCCAATGGCAAGTTTGGTGTCAAGTATGATCGAATCTCATCCAAGTTCATGACCTCTCATCCTGCCGGACGGTCTTCGAATAAACCAACAAAGCTGCAACCTGCGAGTCACAGATCTCGATACCACCGCGGTGTTAACATCCGAAGTCATACTGCGTTCCTAGCACGCCATCCGTCCATGTCAAAGCGTGCAACTTCTAATGTCACGACACCGCAAACCTTGCTGCCTGGGCTTCCCAAGCTGAAAGTACCCGAATCTTCGATCCGCTCATTTCTCGATGAATTCCGGGACCATCTTCTGATGGACTCACAAGCTCTTGGGAACTCGTCGATACCAGTCGATTGGGACGAAGACCGGCAATGGGAGTTGGCGTTGTATGTGGCAAGTCAAATTGGTCATGCTTACGCGGTAGAATCCATTTTGTACCGCGGCACGAACCCCAACGCAGTGATGGAGGATGGCTTGTCGAGCTTACATGTAGCTTGTCGCGGTGGTCACCGGGGTATTGTAGCGATGTTACTGACTCACGGAGCTGACACAAACATCACGGACTTCAACGGGGTATCACCTTTGCTAGCTGCTGTACAGCTGGGAGACCTAGAGATCGTGGAAATGCTTGTGGAATATGGTGCAGATGTGAATCTGTGCAACAAGGACAGTATATCTGCTGTGCATGTGGCGGTTGCATGTCAAACGCTGCCTATACTTCAGCTTCTACTGGAATACGACGCCTTTGTCAACACGAAAAACACTTTCAACGGCAAAACACCTCTGCACCTTGCTGCCCAAGCCGGTAGTTTGCCTATGTGCAAGCTGCTTCTGAATTACGGAGCCAACATTCACCTCGAAACGACTCGAGGACTCGACGTTGTGGCACTTGCTAAGTCACATGGCCACGAGAATGTTGCGAGGTTCTGCCTCGTTAGCAGCAACCACGGTTCAGCAAAGATGGCACATACTACTGCGGGTGCTTCGACCTCGAAGTGCAGTGATGAAGTTAGAATCGTCTCTGAAGACGGGTACGCTTACGCTGTATTGTAAGCGCGAAAGCCTCAATGGAAAAGGCTAATAAGAACTTTATTGTTGTTAGTTTGCTGAAAACAATTGTCAGAAAGCGGGTCAGAGTTCGTAAAATATACTCTGTTACTATTGCCAATTCTATCTGTAATCTATTCGTCATTTATTCCGATTTTATCTAGATTATTGTTCCAAAGCTAATGTTTGGGTAATTTTTGAATTAACATTTTTTTTCTCTTTTTAGTACGTCAAAGGCCGTTTCAGAAAAAAAAAAAGAGTTCTTCCAAAGTCGTTGCCAGTCCCTCCTGCAAGATGGATCGGAGAAGGAGCGGCAATACCAATGGAGGTCATGGGGCAGGAGCAGCGTCCATTAACAACAGCGAGTGCTGGGACTCTGTGTCATACCTAGAAAGTGCCTTTCACCATGGATTCATGCGGCTGCGACTCAAAACAGGAGACTTCGTCTACAACGAAGACCCACGACTCACGCGCGAGTTGGACGAATTCTGTGATGTAGACTCGATGCACACACCCAAAGGTCCAGTGATTCTACTAGGTGAGAGCGGGATGGGGAAGAGTGCGTTCTTGGCAAATTGGCTAGTTCGCCGGAAGAAAATGTTTCAGAATTGGCAATCCTCGTATCCCGAGTTCATATTTTCTCATGTGGTGGGGTGTTCACGGCAATCTTGTTCCGTATCGAACCTACTAGAGCGTATTTTACGCGAAATTAAGGAATATTTCGAGCTCAACAAAGAGATCCCGGACGTGGAAGAGCGACTGAGTTGGCAATTCCCTCGCTTCTTAGAGGCAGCATCGAAAAAAGGTCGTGTCATTCTCGTAGTTGATGGCCTTCATCGCCTCCATACAAACAACGGGGAAAGTATTTTAAAATGGGTGCCTCTCGCATTTCCTCCAAATGTTCGCATCATCTTCTCGGGGACACTCAATTACCCAACTGCTAAGTTGTCCCAGGTTCTTAACATCAGTGGAGCGACCCACACCGGTACTCGTGGTGATGACGAGTGCGGTGTAGGAGGTGATTACTACGAGAAAACGAGTCTCAGTGCTCAGATGATTGAGCGAATAAAAATGGAGGCCGGTCGTCGCAACTGGAAGCTCATTCACGTGCTTCCTCTTGTTGAGGAGGAACGAAGACGTATAGTAAGGAGGTTTATCTCCAAGAACCGAGACATTAGCTATCAAGACGACAGTGGCTCACTACGAAAAGCAGGACTGCAGCTCTTTGAGATTCAGCAAAATGCCATTGTCGGTGTACCCATGAGCGCTAGTCCGCATTTCCTAAAAAACTTCCTCTCTTGTCTGCTGTGGGCTGTGAAGGAGGGGTTCAATATCCACGCTGTCTTCGAAAGCTGGTTAGGTGCAGATAGTGTAGCGCAGTTACTGGAATCTGTGCTTCGTAGTATGGAGACTGGTTATACTCCGGATCAAGCCTCAACCGATGATGCTATGCAGTTCTTGTTAGAGTTCGATGGAGAAGATACTGTTGCTGCCGCTACTGCGAGTGCTGTATCCAGTCGCAGGTCGTCAGTTATAGGTGGAGACTCCGGTAGGAAAAAATCGATAAATCAGACCGATAATCGCTCAAAGATTGAAGCTGCGCGTGCTGCTGCAGAGGCGGCAGTTCGCGAGGCTAGCGACTCGATGCGTGATTCTCAAACTGATGACACAAAGAACGTCAAAAATGTTCATGAACCCAAGCAAGTGTTTGTCAATATGGTACGCGCCGATGGAACTCGACCGGCATCTTCAGAAGGAGGAACAGCGTCAATAGATTCGTATTCACCAGGAAAGGGTACAAATGCTCTGCTCGAGGCTGCGCAGCACAGATTAAAGCGGTTTTCAACGGAACCTCGAGCTGGGATTAATAATCTGGGCGGCCGACCGGATTATTTAACAGGTGGACGCACTGTTGCTCCGCTTGGGGATTTATTGGGCCGAGCTCTGTGCCTCTTGTATGTATGCCGTCATGGATTATTACTAAACGAGCTGCGATTCATCCTTAATGCTGTCGTAACCGAGGTGCGTGGTATTCATCGCCCTCGAAACGATAACGAAGCCACTGAATTTGGCCACAGAGCAAGCCTAGCACAAGAACGGTTAACGGCATTTTCAGAGGATGAATGGCAAGCTCTCTTACGAGCACTACGCACACTCGGTGTGCTTTTCGTCCAGGAGGTTGTGGTGCTACCTATGTGCAACGATATCTTACGTGATGTCATTTGGTGGCGATACATTGGCAGTGAACGCGCTGAGCAACAGTATCATCAGTGGCTCATTCGTTTCTTTCGTATTCATCCAACCACTTTCCGTCGAGTTGAGGAGCTTCCATGGCATCTAAAACGTTGCTATCAATGGGATGCGCTGCGTCAAGTATTGGTGAACTTGCCCATGTTTCAGCTACTGTATACTGCCAGCTACAAGGCCGAGCTTTTCGGGTACTGGAAAGTGCTCACCGATGGTCCATTACTCAATTACGGAGCAGCTACCAGCGCATCCGATCCACCAGTATACGTGATGCCCTTCGACGTGGTCAAAGAGTACGGAAAGAGCATCGATGATTGGTATCGTAGTGCTCGTCCTACCACCAAAAACTTCACGGCTATCGTACAGCTGATCACGCGTTTCATGTATGAATTCTGTCTGTCATACCAACGCCCTTTACCCCAGTTCATGCACGCCCCCTTCGACCTTAAGCGACTTTACTTGGATGGCTTTCTGTTTGTCGAAAACTTGCCGCATGTTCAAACAGTGATTAGTTCAACTGGAGGAGCTGCATCTACGTCACCCTCAACAGGATCTTCCTCCTTTAGTGGCATGACAGCAATGACAAGTACTTCAACCGCTTCCTCTGCATTACTTGCAGCATTGGAGAATTTCCCACCACAAGTAAACACTTTAACTGTTGGCACTGCCAGCTCTACTACCAAGGACAAGGACGCATTTAAGAACTGCTTCTTTTTCTATCAGCGGTGGATCTGGATTCAATTTCCGTGGCTCGCACTGGGTCGTGACATTATCATTCGAGACCCAATCGTACAAAATCCGATCCTAGAAAAGGCAAATGGGTCCAATGTCAACAATAATAGTCCAGGTTTGACCACAATGACGCAAACTACTTCATCAAACGCATTAATCCCATTGGGTTCATCTCGCGGACACTCCGGAGATGCGATTGATGAAGAAGTTAAACGACACGATAGTGGCGAAGTGGCCGCTAAGGTCACGTCACTGACGCCGTCTCAAGCATTAGCTCGATCCGGGCTATTTGATGCAAGGTTTTGGGATGTCAAAAAGAGTATGTTTGACCCTACAACTCGTCGACCTCGAGGTGCAATGACAACTTCTCAGCTTGCTTCAGTGAAAAATGCAAGTGTCTTGATGAAGTCAACACCAACGTCACTTGCCAGTCAAACTTTGGATGTGATATCTCCGGAAAATCTTTTCCGGAAGAAAAGTGCCTACACCACAGTGAAAAGTGTACTAGCATCTTCTGTACGTCGTCTCCCCAGTGCAACATTGAAATCATCGGCATCGTTACCAACGTTGTCCGAACAACGCCAACTGAATCCAACCTCAAACAACCGTAGCGAACCTACTGGCCATACCGATCCAACCATAATGGAGCCACCGTCACCCGTCTCTAATACCAATGGAAAGCCAAGTCTGACTTCAAAAGAGCTCAAGCTGGAAAGCATATCTAGTACAGAGGATTTAATGACGATCGCCACATCTTTTGGTCTGCCCGCACACTTCCAGGACTACCCACAGTCTGAGTGGGACCTAAAACAGTCCTACAACCATCGCGTGGTACTCAAACTGCAAGCATTGTACGATTCCGTAAAGACTGAAGTTGCGCAAAAGCAAAAGTATCTGCAAGACGTTAAACGAAAAACCCGCGAAACTTCACGTCGCTACGAATTAACAATGCGCGAGTGTGACATGGCAAAGCACGCAGCGGAAGAAATGAGCTCTCGTCTGGCAAAACTGGAACAGGTGATGAAAAACATCGATCAGCAAGAGAAGACGCATCGCAAACTCATTCGCGGGTGCGAACTATTCCCCGCTTGTGCTCCTGCGCACTTTGAAGCTAACAAGAAAGAGTTGCGTCTGCTGCAGATGAAACTCAAGGACCTTCAAGACGAGAAAAAGGTGTTGTATACGAAAAAGACCCATTTGCAGAATGAAGAACTCCCAATTCTGCGCAAAGCTGTGGAAAAGAGCAAACGGTTGCTGTCTGCTGTAGTGGACAAACTGGAGCGTGCACGCGAGAAAGTAGCGCACGATCAGGCCTCATCGGTTAAGTTGTATCAACGCAGACTGGAGATGATCGAAAATGTTCGCTCAGCAAGTGGCAAAGGGGCCAATGTGAGTACGGAGGAAGAAGCCCGACGACAAGCTCGACAAACATTCAGCGCCACTACACGGTCACTGGCTACCAAAGTCGCCCTGCAGCAGTGTGAATCCATGTGTGACAAGATCCAGAAAGCCACCGGGTTCTCGAAAATGGAGCTCATTTTTCAGAAATTCTCGCGTCGGGAGGAGCTTAATGCCAGTTTTGAAGAGCAAGCCAAGCTCTATGAAGCTCGTCTTAAGCAGATCAAACTGAACCAGGCGGAGCTGGAGGAGCAGTTGCATTCTCTGGAGCTTTCACAAACCACGGCGTCAACGGAAGATCCACGGGTCCTGGAACAAAAACTACGAGCTGCTGAAGTAGAACTCGCGCGTACCGAATACACTCAGGCGAGCCTCCTCACAAGCTCCAAAGAGGTGATCGCTGGAGCCGCGAGAATAGTAAAACTAATGGGTATCACGAACTGCTCCGACCCGCATCAAAACGCTATACCAGCTTCTCGTCTCTGGCCACCACCCGTAGGCTACGAAGGCGAGAGGAGCCTCGCGTCTGAGTTTGAAACGCTGGAACCTCCTGCCATCACTGCACTCCTCCAGCTTTGTCAAGACCGAGCGACTCTGATGATGGACGCGGTATGTTCACGTACCTTGGGGTCCTAACTCAAATACTGACAATGTGTGTATGCTCTGTGTGTAGATTGAGGGCGCAAGGAGCGACCCGGACGTCAACTTTTCTCTGGTACGAATGCTTGTATACTTTTAGAGTTGGTGTAGTCTTGACACTTTCTCTTACTTTGACCCACAGATCTCGGAGTCATCGTCACGGCGTCGTCGGACAGTGCGTGGAGGTGACGAGAAGACCACGACACGATCAAGTCGCTACCGACGGCCACCGCAGCTCAGCAGCGTGGCGGAGAAGAGCAAAGACAAGGAGAGAGATAAGGATCGAATTGGTTTCGACCGCGGTGCCGTGCCACCGGCCATTGGCGCTACCATGCCCACGATGGCGACTCAGCCCACTACACCAGAGCTAGAGGAGGGTGGTCAGGAGCCAGGAGAAGAGACGGAGGTGCTCTCAAGAGAGACCATCAAGGCCTCGAGCAGGAACAAATTAGCGCAGCGGAAGCGTGGCAATAGCAATGCTGGACCTATTGAGGACCATAATGGGTAACTTGACGCTAAAAAAACTGTAAAATTGGGTTTTGCTCGGACTATTTTTTTTTATTGCTTTCATGCGGGGCGAGAGCCAACGCTTGTCGTCGCACCTGAAGGCTGCGTACGCCGAGATCGAGCGACTGAGAACAGTATACAGCCATGCAATTGAGAGACTAGAAGCCTACGCACTACCGAATCTATCGCCACAGTCTGCTGCGCAGTGGTTCGAGATGGTGCGCTAGATACTTTTCCGATCGACGTCTCCAGCACACTATTAACTGACCCTTGTCTTGTCAGTATCTCCGTGTTGTGGATTTGGGGGTCCAGACCCGTCGCGGTGAGATTCGCCACCGAACAACAAAAATGTTTAAGTACCCGTGCATGCACAAGACCGGCACCAAAGGAGCCGTCCATTCAGGTATGTTGGTAGATTGCACCGCTTGTTAATGTTTTGAGCATCACCTGATGCTTGTATGATTATATTTCAGGTCTGAGTATTGACGACGGGAATGGCATTTTCCAGCGGATGGAGAGTGGGAATCTGGTTAAGGAGAGTTGGCTGGAGAAATGGTTCAGCAAGATGGATGTATTGGATCGAGACGTCATTGGATCGCTAGACAAGAGAGTAACTCGATGTCTCGAGGACTTTCGTAGACAAAGTAGTGCATTTTACGATCGAGTGGAAACAACAGGGAAGGATCCTCATGAAGGGATGGTAGTATTCGGAGCATCTGGTGCTGCTGCCTCAATCCTGGCGAAGGTCACCCGCACATGTTTTGATCCGCAAAGTTGTTCATGCGAGGAAGACGCAGCACCTTGGGAAGATTTCTGCCTCAAGTCAGACGACCCTCAAGCTCAAAGACTATCCTCGGTTGTAGATGTCCCTGTGGCACCAGTGAATAATGTGGGTATTAATGATATGAAGCGCCAAATGGGCTTCGAAGAGCTCTCACGTGAAGAGAAAAACGAGGATACCGCAGCACTTGCCAGGGATGCTGCCGAATTGGCTCGACGCCGGATACCTCGAGGACGAAATATTGCTGCAGGTGGACAGAGTGCCCCACTGTCAGGTCGAAGTATCTACCATAAAAAGGTGAGATTCCTTCGAGACGATGCATGTAATAATGGACTAACCCTTTATCGATTCAGTGCGAAGAGAACGGCTCCAAACCAAAGCAACACATGAATGCGTTGTTAGTGGTAAAGAAGGGATCTCATCATCTTAACTTGTCTGGCATAGGCTTTCACTCTGCAGACGATCTCCAGGTGTTAGTGGACATTTTCTCCACACAGGGCTTGCCTCCTGTGAAGGAGCTGGATATCTCCTATGGGTTTTTCAATGCTGCAGCATTTCAGATGCTGTGTCAATTGTTACGAGTGCCGGTGCTTCGCCAAAGCCTCGAGCGACTCAGCCTCCGTGGGATTTCTCTTCCTGTGCGTGGTGACTTCGCTAGCCTCTTGCGTATTTTAACTAGCGAGTCCGGCTCTTCCCTACCAGCGCTGGGTAACTTGAAGACGCTGGATCTCTCGTTCAACACATTGTGGTTCGATGGTGCGACTCAACTCCATCCACTGCTCAGTAGTCTCCCACATCTCGAAGAGTTATCGTTGGAGTCCTGCTTCCCTGAACCTGAATCCTCAAGTGATCGACAGATGACACAAGAGAGTGTTCGTGCCGCTCTCGTGGAGGTGAGCAATCGACTTGAACGACTCAATTTTGGGTCAAATTATGCTGCCATTGAATCACGTTGGCTCGATGCTTTGTTCACGCCGGGAAGCACGATACAACGGCTAGAGTTGAGTCGAATAAGCAGCTCTTCAACCGGTATCAGTGGATCTGAACCGATGGACGTAGATTGGCATGCGGGTGAGGCTTGGGATCTCCAGCAATTAGAAACACTCAAATGGTCCTCCAGCAGTGGCGTGTATTCAGACAAGCTGCTTGGTGCTCTGTCTGCTGAGTTGCAAAGTGGCTTCGCACAGTTGAAACATCTCGACATTGTGTTCAACATTGCGCCAGGCCAAACAATGGACAAGAAGGCCGCCGATGCAATCATACACATCGCCGACTACGCGGTATTAAGGTCGTGTCGAATCTGCTGCTACACTCGCGATGGTTCCTCTCACGGTATTAGATCGTCTATAGCAAGACTTGTGGAGGATGGTCTTCAAGAATGTGAAAATTTGACATTGCGAATGCCACAATTGCATCTTGAACCACGCACGATCTGCGAACTATTGTCGTGTGCTGTCGTTCCCAAGATGACAAAGATGACTCTGGCAGTTGGAATCGCTTGTGGCGGTCAAGATCAAACAAACTTCGCGTCATGTTTTGTCCAAATGCGAAAAATTCAAGCACTTACGTTAGAATTCCACGTTGCGATCGAAGACCAAAGTAACGCTGTCGGGGCGTTTGTACGAGAACTGGAAGCATCTTGGCTGGGATCAAGTCCATCTAGTGACCAGAGTGCAGTCAAATTGCGTCGTTCCGTTGTCATATCCGAGCAACAGAAGGCAACAAAGAAGATTTACCGGTGCCGCTTCTCGGCAACATCGTGAGTTGATAAGAAATATCAAGTAAACTGCATACCGGCGGCCTCGAGACTGTGCATCTCACGCAAGAGTGCTTTGGCCTCTTCTTTCTCTGGTCCCTGCATATCCAGCAGTCGGTTGCAGAAGATGGTGGCTTCAGTGAACCGACCCAACTGCTTGTAGTAGTTAGCAAGAGAGAGAATCGAAGCCAGCGCCTGAGGAGTATCAACGCGGATGTTCCCGCCACTGCCACCGGGCAGCACAAGGATCTCTCTTTGATCTTCAACTGGCTGTACTCTTTCATCTTGATCGTGCAGAACTGATTCGGGAGCGCTGCGAAGACCGAGATGCATGAGGTAATATTTGGCAGCTTCGTGTTGCCGCCCACGTGCTGCATACAGACGACCCAGGTGGTATGACGCGATGCCCTCGCGATCTTGGTTATTGACTGCACGGTGGAAGCACGCAAGGGCTTCATCCACCTTGTTAAGCTTCTCGTAACAGCCACCCAGAGCACACCACATCCGCGCGTCGTAGGGACGGATGGCCACAGCTTTACGATAATAGTAGATGCTGTACAGGAACATGTTGAGGATCTCGTAGGCCTGGCCCAGTCCATACCATGCGCGATAATCCCGTACGTTGAGATCGACCGCGTGACGATAGGCCTCAATAGCAGCGCTGGTGTTCTTCATCTCGATATACTCGTGTCCAATTAGTGTCCAAGCGGATAGGAAATTCGGGTCCAATTTCAATGCACGATGGAAGTAAACAATCGCGCGATCGTGCTTGTTCTTGATGGAGTAGTAGTTACCAATGATACAGCACGTTTCCGGTCGGTATTTCTCCACTTTAAGAGCTCGATGAGCTAGTCGACTGAGCTCGGTCTTGTCTTCTTTTACATACAGCACGTTCGAGTAGACGTCCATGCTTTCCATTCGATGCGGATCCTGTGCTGCTAGTCGCTCGAATTGCTCTTGGGACTGGTCGAAGTCTCGAATGTGGTAGCTGGTTAACGCTTGCTGCGCCAAGAGATATGTGCTTTGCGGGAAGTGGTCTTCTAAACTCGTCAGCAGCGCTCGTGCAGCATCATTCTGCTGTTGGTCAAGCAGGACGTGGGCTTGAAAGAGTTGAAACATCCAGGGACAGCTCGTCGCAAGGATAACCTCTTCTTCCTGTCACCATTGCAACAAGTTAGCACCAATCAGTAGATAATAAGCCGTTTGTACGTACACTGGACGTGAAAGGAGAGTGTGCTGCGAGTTCCATCCAGGCTGACCAGTTCCATGGATACCGTCGGATGGACTCAATGAGGATGAATCGAGTGGTAACGTCGAATGTCAATGTGGTGGCAGCTCCTGAGTCTTCTGTTCTATTACGTTGGCTGGCATTGGAGTCGTCAACTTGTTGCCGTTTCTGTTCTTCGGCAAAATCTGCACGATGGCGGGTCTTCATACTGACTGGTGTCGACGACTGTGCTTGCGTACTACCAGTGCTTGTGCTGTAGCCTAGACGCTTGAGAACGACAGCATACAAGTAGAGACCGAATCCGTCCAGCGAGTTCTGCTGGTATGCTGCGCTGAGAGCCAAGTACAGCTCCTTTAGATGAGGATTCGAGCCCTGACGGTGCAAATTGCGATCTACCTCTGGCAATATCACAGTATTTAACAGTTAGTTGCAGTTAAAAAGATTACGACAGAGTCTATGATACCTTTGCTGCTGCCTGTCACGTTCATCTCGAGATCCATCTCCTCCTTTGCCTTCTCTCCAGCCAGATACAGCGCGTAGTATTTCAGGAAGCGCGTCTTCTGAGTGGGGCAACGAAGAGCATCGACATCGCCACTTCCAGTGTGCGAGAGCATGTGGTGGGCACGGAGGTATTCGCCCACGTCGAAACAGGCTTTGGCAGCCTCGAATCGATCGGCCTCCGCCCAATCCTCCGTCTCGCTGTTATCCTCATCGCTTTTCCTCTGTATGTACGACGACTGGCCGTATGCAGCGTCACCCATGCCGAGTAGAAGCTCTGCTGCGAACTGCGTGGCCTGCTTTAGTCCACGGACGCGCAGATTGCGCACAGCGGCGCGCAATTGAGCCGCCACTACAGCAGCTTCAGTCTCGGCCATTAGGTACTTTGGTCCTTGATATCTTCATACAAGTCCTTATAGTGAGGGTAAATAATGACATTTCCACTTCAACGTTCTTTAACTGTAAAAAAGCCTCTATCCGGTCTCTATTCAAACGCTAAGCACACGATTAGCGATCTCTTGCGGCGTGAGATCTGCGGGAACTGATCCTTGCGCGAAGCTAGCGTTGCCGCCTCCACGACCACCCAGCGGCTTGACCACTTGTTGGAGCAGTTTGCCAGCGTGAACCTTCGCCTCAGAGTTGGCGATGCACGCTACCTGGGATCCAACCAGAACCAGCAGCACGCTGTTAGGGGAAGCTTGCTCTGCCAAGAATTCAGCGCGGCGTTTAAGCACCTTGGAGAATTCTCCGCCTCCAGGAACATCCAACGCATGCAGTTCTACTTGAGGCACACTGATAGCTCCGTCAATAGATCCCGACGCCAGTGGAGTCGAAGGGAGCGCGGCTAGCACGTCGCCCAGAGCTTGAACTCGACTCTCGAGCTGTTTCACCTGCTTATGCATCTTTCTAACACGCTCTACCACCTTAGCAGGTGTAGTCGAGAGCTGATCGGCCACCTCGCTCAGCGTCTGTGCCTTTGCTTGTAAGTACCGGGCACCAGCCGCTCCTGCCACCGCTTCCACACGTCGTGTACCTGCAGCTACTGATCCCTCGCTCACCAGTGCGAACGGGAACACCTCACGTACATTTTGCACGTGCGTTCCTCCGCAAAACTCGCTGGTTAGAGGAGCTTCAGCCGCTCCAACTCGAACGACACGTACAACATCTCCATACTTATCACCGAAGTTGCAAATGGCGCCACTGCGTTCGGCTTCTTCTCGTGGCAACTCGACGGTTGTAACGTCCAGCTCCGCTGCTGCAAACGCATTCACTCGTGCCTCCACACTTGCCATCTCATCAGGAGATAAGGCTCCGAAATGGGCAAAATCGAAGCGAAGCCGGTCACTAGTAACCTGTGAACCCGCTTGCGTCACGTGCTCGCCCAACTCCGCCTTCAGCGCTCGCTGTAGTAAATGAGTTGCAGTGTGATGTACAGCGCAACTAGAACGAAGCTTGCGATCCACATGCGCCTCAACGGTAGGTTTTAAACCATCGTCGCGGACGAATAGCGCTGTAATGTCTTCGAACGTCGTATCCTTCGGTAATGAACATTTAACTGCAATTGCATCCTCGTTGAGTTTCGTTGTGTTTTCAACAGGAATCGTAAGGTGTTTTAAACTGCCCTCGGAGGTAAAAATCAGGTGACCACGATCTCCAACTTGGCCTCCTCCTTCCGGGTAGAATGGACAGCGATCGAGAATGACGCTGAACCCGTTCGAACCTGGACCCGACCAACTGTCCAGTACGCGAGCTTTAGACACGCTAAGCTGATCGTAGCCCACGAACTCGCTGACCACAGTCGCTGCTGGAGCTGAAGACTGCTCTGATGAAGGTTGAGTATTGTGGCCCGCGAAGGCACTACGGTCACTGGTTTGCTGCTTGTGGCTCTTCATACAAGAGTCGTAACCTTCGATATCGACACTAAGACCCTTCTCTTCCGCCAGCACCTGAGTGATATCTAGCGGGATACCATACGTGTCGTATAGACGGAAAGCATCAGCACCAGACAGCACGGTATGGGTCTTTGAGAAAGCCTTTTCAATAGCACCGCGGCCATTACGAAGCATCTCTTCAAACGCTCTCTCCTCGTTGGAAACGATGGCTCGCATTTGCTGGAAACCTGCAGTTTCTGTCCATCCAGGGACTGCAATCGAAGCCAAAATGCCGTCTGAGCCACCCTTAACGCCGAGTTGCTGCGCATGTCGAATGGCACGCCGGATGATACGGCGAAGTACGTAGCCGCGACCAATGTTGGACGGGAAAACACCGTCGTGTAGCAATGCGTAGGTCGCACGAAGGTGGTCACTGACAATGCGGAGGGTTTGAATCTCTTTTCCGGTCCCGAATAAATTCTTGCTCGGATCTAGCTCTTCTTGAAGCGCACTAGTGAAAGATTGGCGTGAGGTTGACGACCGGTTGACGTCTAGTACGGAAGCCACCTCTGTCAAGAGAGGCACGAAGATGTCTGTGTGGTAGTTGGAAGGGACTCCTTGAAGAACGGAGGCCACGCGCTCAAGACCCATTCCTGTGTCGACAGAACAGTTTGGAAGTGGGTGAAGCTCACTATCGCCTTCGTTGCGGAAGAACTGCATGAACACGAGGTTCCACAGCTCCAAGAAGCGTTCGTCAGGGTCAGCGATGTGGTCTCCGAGGTCCCAAAACACTTCCGAGCACGGACCGCACGGGCCAGAGTCGCCCATGGCCCAAAAGTTATCATGTTCGTCCAGCTCTAATATCTTGTGGTCGGGAAGTCCAGCGATCTGCTTCCACAGACGACGAGCCTCTTGATCGCTCTTGAGCACCGTAACGTGTAGTCTGTCAACGGGCAGTCCCAATTCCTGAGTAAGAAAGCGCCAGCACATTGCAATTGCCTGCTCCTTGAAGTAGTCGCCGAAGCTGAAATTGCCCAGCATCTCGAACATTGTGTGATGCCGGCGCGTGAGTCCCACCTGGTCCAGATCGTTGTGCTTACCACCAGCTCGCACACAGCGCTGCGCTGAGGTGGCTCTGGAGTATCCGCGCGCCTCCGCTCCACCGTCGAGACCCAGGAATGCCTGCTTGAACGGCACCATGCCGGCGTTCACGAACAGCAGCGATTGGTCACCTCCGGGCGGCACCAGCGACGCACTGGGCACGATGCGATGGCCCTGAGTCTTGAAGAACTGTAGGAAGCGACTGCGTAGCTCCGTGGATGGTAGCGAGTGCAAACCACGGACCGCGGAGCGGCGAGCGCCCGCGCAACGGCGAAGACGCAGCATCGGCCTTGCTGCGATCGCCACCTCACGATTTTTGATTCGCAAAGCTCGAATCCTATCTATTAGACTTCATTCCCTTCGATAGGATTGTTTATCTGTCAACGTTTTTTTTTTCTTCGCATCAGAATCTTCCTCAAATTCCTGCGGGATAATCGAAAAATGGAAGCGGGGCAGCAGTATGCGCGGCAGCCGCTGGGCGCTGGGCGAGACATGGAAGAGGAAATGCAGCACGTGCTGCAGTTCCTGGACACGTCGCTAATCACGCCGCCGTCGGGCAGCGATCTTGTGACGCAGCAGACGCCGTCCCAACTCCAGCGACCAACGCCCGAGCAGCTACGCGAGATGGCGGCGTTGCACGAGAACGAAGGAACAGCGGCATACAACGAGCTTGGCGAAGTGATTGACCTGCTTGGATCACTTGATGCCAACGATACAGACCCGAATCTGCAACAGCAGCAGCAGGATACGCTCTATGGCGGCAATCCGGTGCCACGATCAGCATCTAATGATGGCAATGTCGCTCAAAGAGTGCAATTGCCTCGCTCGACCTCCGTGAGTAGCACCCACAGCGGAGTGGACAGCATCTCACCTGTAGGTCTGCTCAATGGTCCGACCATGTCGCCCGCCACGATCAACTGGCTGCAAACGCTCGTGCCGTCGACAAGTACCGAGAGCCTTACAGGTCTTATTTCACCTGCTACTCTTTACGGGACTGGTGGTGGCTCCGCTTCGGGGATAAGCGGGACGGGAGGGATTGTTGGGAATACTGGATCAAATGGCCAGGTAGACGGAGCTAACCCTTCGAAAAGCGATGGACTTCCTAGGACGCCGTCGTGCGAGATTATCGACTGGAAAGCTTACAACGAGTCGGCCGATAAAACTCAAAAGGGGCCTTCCAAGTGGCGCGTTATTCCTCAGCACGGACCACATGCTGATCCAGCAGCAAGCTCCAGCTCTAGCAACGGCGTGAATGCTAGACTCCCTCCTGGAGGTGCGGTTCCGACGAGTTCAGTCACTGGTTCAGAACTTACCGCACAGCAGCAAATGTACCTTGCAGCAAGAAAAGTGACAGAAGAGAAAAACAAGCGAAAGGCATTGGTGTCACCCGAGTACGTCCAGTATGGCAACCCAGTCTCAGCGGTTCCAACAATACCGCGAGATCCCGGAAGCAGCATTAAGATGGAGCCCGGCTCGGTGCAATACGCGACAAAGGTGCCCGAACCAACAGGTCGTCGTCCATTCAAGAAGTCGCTGCACCAAGCAACCTCACCTGCTGGTCAATTGAATCAACAGAGTGGCGCTACGTCTTCGTCAACGACTGGACCGGATGGAAAAGACGATGGGGTGCGCTGCAAATGCACGGGAAAATGCCGTAATGCTCGCTGCGCCTGTGTGAAGGCTGGACTAGTCTGTGGTGCTCAATGCAAGTGCGTGAGCTGTGCGAATCCATTCGTTCCGATGGCCCGCGAAGGTATCGACATCCAGCTGATGGTGCGTGACATCTGCTTGATGCAGTATCTATCTAAGATCAAGGACATGCAAGAGCTGCTGGACTCGACTGTGAGCTACGAGTGTTGTGAAGGTGGCGGTGGGGTTGTACAAGTAAAGCACACGGTGGAGAACGGCTTCGCCTGTCCTCACTGCGACGCGCACTTTACGTACTCGTGGTGCAACAACCGGCTGTGTCCAGATGCCAAGAAACCGCGTCGCCATTGTGCCAAGTGCCGTCGGTGTGGCGACCATCGTAACCAGCACTGCGACCTGTGCAACCACTGCTACTTTGCCGGTGTGGCCAACAGCTTCCGTTGCAGTTGCCAGTCTGCAGGTAGCGGCACTGGTGCTAAGACAAGAACTGTGGTGCCAAATCCAGTACACCGAGAACCCGATTCGACCAAGCCTGAAGACAATGATAAACCAAACGGACAACCACGTTTCGGCGCTATCAACCCAGCCACCGAAGGCTCTACACGTGACGAAAACTCTGATGCTAACAGTGCAAAGACAGCAGATGAAGAAGCAGACGACTCATGCAAAATGCAGTAGATAAAATGTAAGCTCTGCAATTGAGCAGTATTAGCCGATATCACGTATACTATGGATGTTTATAAAACGAACCACAAAACGACAGCAAGAAATGCCAGTCCGACTCGCGAGATGTGAACGAAATTACTCTGCGCGATGTTTTCGAGGCTTGGCGTGCACACCACTAAAGGCTTGTCGGTATCTGGATCAACGGCGTTGTCTTTGAACGGCGAGCCCGGGTATGGTGCTCGGTAGTAGACTAATTTTTGATTCTGTGTCACAACAAATACCCAAATTGGTTCAGCGTGAGGTGGTAAAGTGTTGTGGTGTAAAACTTACCACCCATGTGGTACTGATCTCAGCCGAGCGAGCGTTGACGTACTTGGGATCCCCACATCGCCACAGATCGCTCGAGTACTGGCAGGCCGTCATGAAATTCTCACACACACTGCGACACAGCAGTAAACTTCGCCCTTCGGTGTCACAGCGAGGGAAGTTGAGCCAGCAAAAGTAGTTGCGGAAGGCATTCTCGCAGTCCGGGTTGTCTGTGAAGCGCGGCGTGATAGATTTAGAGCCACCCCACTCGTCCGTATCGTCATCTGCCATTGTGCTGTTTGTCTCGTAGATCTTGCGTTGGATGACGAGCTTGGTGAACATTTGCTCTACGAAGCGATCTTTGGACAGCGCTGAGTGGTTGTACCAGAGACTCTGATAACGAGGAAGACATGCCGTGTACGGAATGACAGCCTTGCAAAATGGCAGCAGTAGGTCGAAGTCAGTCGGCTCCGTGCATTCGCCCGTATCAGCGCCATCTAACATGCATGCGTCGATTGACTCCAAGGAAGGATAGACTGCACATAGTGCTAGCGCATACCACCACATTGATACACGACCTTTTGCGGACAGGGATCCGACATTTTAAAATAAATTACGGGTAGATTACTGAATACTGAAATATATATTTAAATATATTTCAGTGGATAGCGTTTTTTTAAATTAATCTGTAATCTATCCGTAATTTATTTGGATTTTATCCATACTCGCCGCAAAATGAAACGTTCAAAATTTCGCCGAAAGTAAAGGAGAACACGACAGCATCCAAGATAGGTGGGGTCAATAAACTTTACACTGTAAAGCTTGTATTTGATTACTGTTTTCTTACGAACAAGCCGAAGTCGTCGCACTTTCGGAAGCCAGCATGCCACGCAACATGAAGAAGGCACTGACGATGTAAACCGAGGAATCAACACGAACTCAAGGTGGATTGCCTACTTCCGCATCCCCCCCTCCCATGCCACCGAAGCCGCCGCTCCAGCCTTTCCCGCCCTGGTTGTCCTTGCCTTGCGATGCGGAAGTCCACGAGTCTCCACTGCTAGTGGTCATTGCAGATCCGGTCGAAGTCCACGAGTCACCGCCAGTGGTGGGCGCTCCTGTTGTAGCCGAAGGCGCTGTGGTCGTCGTCACTGAGGACTCACTGGTGGACGTTTCTGTCGTAGTAGAGGACGCTGTGGTCGGATCCGACGTACTGGATGACGTCGTGGTTGTGTCACCTGACGTGGACGTAGCCGCTTCATTTCCGGTAGTCGACGATGTTGAAGTCGCGGTCGTCGAGGTCGTGGAGGTGGACGAGCTGTCTCCGCTCGCCGGACCAGTGAGGGGCACGCAGTCCTTGTAGACCTGCCAGACCATTTTGCTGTCCACGCCCTGGAATGCTAACCAGTAGAACCGCAACATACAACCACTTGTCGAGCAGGACGAATAGTCCACGGGGGTGAACACTGACTTGGTGTCCACCGTGCCGTCCCCGTAAGCTGTCAAACAGTTGTCATTGGACAGCACCATCGTGTCGTCCAGCCAGATCTCACACGGACCGACGTGCACCATTCCACGGGAGAAGGTCGCGTCACCCGTGGTTGGCGGGTCCTTCGCAGTCGCGTCCGGGTTGGTGTAGCCGCAGTCAGCGCCGTACAGGTCGGTATCGCTGTCGAGCAGCGTTCGGATGTCACTGTAGCCGTTCGAGGACTTCAGCGTTGTGTAGACCGAAGTGAGGCAATCACTGTCGTCGCTACTGCAGCTGTCCCAGTCACCCGACCACTGCGGCTCGATCTGCACGATCCAGGAGGACGTGGCCGTGCCTTCAAACTCGGCCAGCGGGATGTACATGTAGCCGTGCGCGTTCACATTCTGGACGACTGCCAAAGCGGCAACAGCGGAGAAGATAATGCTGCTGGATACCATGGCGAATGACGAAGCTGAGACGCCAAGAAGGACTCGAAGTGGAGGTGTCAAGGAATATTCACGAATGAGGAGACAGCGGAGCTTTACCCCGTACTCCTCAATACCATGAATTCTCTCGAGGTAAAAGGCATGTGATCTGTCAAGATGACCCTCACGTGCGGATACTAGTCAGCTAGTTTCACTGTATGCACCGAGTATCTTGACCAAGATGGACATGCAGTGCAATGTCGATCGTTTTGAAATACAAAGCTATCCTCAAAACCAAGGTGAATATTGACATTTGAGGCACGCCGCCGTCGGTGGTGAAGGACTTCCAGCATGCGTCTGCTTTCGGTGAGATTACCGACCCCCTCTACATTCATGAGATCGGCGCTTTTATGGGGATCCGAAGCGCGACATCGTCTTTGATACCACACATCTGCTGATCTACATGACCCAGTGAACACCTTTACCTGAGCTTAGGTGCTTGTCTACATTCGCGTTTGCGTGAATATCGACTGAAGCCGGCGGAGTTGCAACGGCAATTGTATCCGTTGGCCGGTTCGTTAGTGTTAGTTCATGCTTCTCTACGTCAACGGAATAGTGGAAGGAAATACTTGCTCAACCATATACTATTCTTTTGACTTAGATAGTCTACTCCATCCGTTTCACCCTCTTGTTGCTGCGGGGGCTGCTGCAGGACCACGACTTGTCTCTTTGACTCAACATCTTCTGCGGCTCTAGGTTCTCTCCGTCCTCTTCTTCTTCCGGCTCAGTAACGGGTCGCTTCTCGCCTTGTTTAGGAACGTCTTCGGTTGCTATTGTCGGTTTCTGACTGTAATTCTTCTCTACGAGCCATTCGTGGTCACAGACTTGATCGGCTGTGGGTCGCTGTAGAGGATCAACACGAAGCATCCGGTCTAGCAGCGCTCGGAGCTCGAGTGGCAGTCGATTCTCCTGTCCCCATGCCCGGAACAGGTCACGAACGGATCCACCAGGCTTCGATAAAAGGCGAAAGCGTGCGTCAACGTCGCCGGCCTTCTCGAACGGGGGTATCCCGGTCACCAGAATAAATAGTATCACTCCAAGAGACCAGATATCTGCCTGCAGTCCATTGTAGCAGTCTTCGGGCTTGAAAATCGCATTGTTTGCTGGTGTATCGGGTCGACAAGGCGAGCGAGAGAAAACTTCGGGAGCCATATACAAAATTTTGCCCACGCGGGTACCGAAGCAGCACGAGCCAGCGGCACTTGCCAGCCCAAAATCTGCCAGTCGACAGCGTCGGAAGCTGTCCAGCAGCACGTTCTCCAAGGACAAATCTCGATGCGCCACGTTCCGTGCGTGCAGGAATCGAACGGCACTGGCAATCTGACCGAACCAAGACCGCGCCATCTCCAGCGTCACGCCGTTGGGATTGCCAACGTGAGAGAATAAGTCCCCGTACGGACAGTAGTCAAACAGCAGGCACCTCGTGTTCGTCGTCCAGTCCACAAAGTCCTGGTGTAGTGTCAGCAAGTGGTCGATGCCTAGCTGCGTCCCTGCCATCGTGCGGCTGTCGTCCTCCACGCCGTTGTTCCAAACAGGACTCACACTCCAGCTGGACACGTCGCACTCGTGGTGTTCCTCTTTAGTATTCTCATCTTTCGAGTACACCAAGTTGCATCCGAGCGTGCGTAAGATCTGCAGCTCCGTTTGTCCGTCTTCTTGGACGTAGGGGCCGGTCACAGCACGACGCGCTCGCATGTGCGGCAGACTCATAACCTTGAGCGCGTAATACCGACCGGAGCTACGATGGCGAACAAGCAGCACGCGGCCATAGATAGCGCTGGCTAGAGGCCGAACGAGGCAGAGTGAGTCCATGGCAGCGATCCGACGCAGCGCAGACTTAGAAGTGAGGGATATTCCGAGTCGCTCGAGCGCGACGGCTGCTGGATGTCCCTGAAATAAACGACATGGTGCTGACCGGCAGCCTGTAAGTTGACGCGCTTAGACGAGCAGCTCGTGGAAATAGCTTCGTATACCGGTAGTGCAACGTGAGCTCCATAGCGCCTAGATGACCTCCCTCTCTGTCTTATCAACTTCATGAACGTTGTCTTTATCATCTTACACATGTACCAACAGAACAATGGCCCATCATGAGAGCGCCGCTTACGCCAATCAGGCCGCTGGTTTTCACCATCGACACGGCGTCCACCAAAGAGTAAACTCCACGGCAAGCAGCCTCGCTCTTCTCTCTCTCTCTCAACGCCATGATGCGGGCACAACGGAACAATACCAACGCAAGAACACGAGAAACTCTTGACTGTAAGGATGGCGTCTCGAGGCAGCCCCTTTGAGCCTCTGCAGCTGACGGAGGACGAGGAGAAGGATTGCTACGATCGTGCCTTTCAATTGCTGGAGCGGACACTACGTAGCTATGACGAGCGCGACGCTCAGGGCGACGGCGGTCGTCTCCACCATTCCAAGCTAGACAGCTCCAAGTGGAAGCTACTGAAGACACAAGCGAACGCGTCAATGTACGTTGCACACAACAACGCCGTGCATCAAGACGACGGCGCCGGCGGTGAGATAGAGAACGCTATCGTTCTTCTTACGGCAGGGACAATCCGAGGTGACTTGGACGAAGTCATGCTCGGCGTGAAATCAATAGACGTCAACAGTATCAGCTTCCGAACGGAGTTGCCTGGCAACCACCCTGTCGACTGCGCCGTGCTGGCCGAGCTGCTTGGCCCAAAAGAGGTGGATCCGTTCCGGTTCCTTGGTGTTACCTGGCTCATGTACGAGAACAGTTGGCCGATCAAGGCCATGATGCGGCCTCGAGATCTCTTGACACTAACAGCTACAGGAACCATGACGCGTTCCAATGGTGACCGCATCGGCTACGAAGTGGTGCTGCCGGTGAGGCTCCCACAGTGTCCACTTTTGTCCGGGACGGTACGCAACGACGTCATGTACGCTGCGATCTTCAAGCAACAGGAGCCTGGTATCGTGGACGTCTACATCCCCACGTACGTGGAAAGTCAAAGTACTCTCCTTGATAAAGTGGTTACTAGCGTCACGTGGAAAGCGACGCTCGCGTTCTGGGACGCCCTGCAGCTTGGTGAGATGAAGAAGTTGCAGTGGAGCATAGCAAACTGCCGAATGGAGCGCCAGAAAGAGCAGAAGTCTTCATCTGCCTGCAAACGCTGCTCGGAACGACCGAGCATGCTAAAGCGTTTCGGTGGTATTGGCCACAACGACAAGAACTCCTGCGTTTTGTGTGATGTGTCCATGTGCTCCGAGTGTCGTGTGGAACGGAGCCTCAAGGTCCCGGATGAAAACAGCGGAAGGCTAAAGGACCAGATTGTTGGTGTGTGTCTGCCCTGCGTGATGTTCGTACGGCAGCTTCGCCCCACAGACATCGCCATGTTCGACCGTAAACAGCGCAGGCCAACATCGATTATCTGAGCTTCACCGTTTGAGTGACTTACTGAGTACCCCGAGTCTTGTTTCACACTCAAACCAAAGCGAGCACCCTGTTTGTCGTCCAGTACTGATACCGTACGCTAGTATGTAGCTATCTCTTTGTTTCATTTGGAATGTGCTCCAAGTCTTCTCACTGCTGTGGGAGATGAAGAATACAATACGACCACATTATTACATCAGAGTCCCCGTCTCCGTGGTAGGATACGATGACATGCATGTACATGCACCAGAACCAGCAGGTTGAGGCAACCGCTGTTGCTAACTCTTCGACACTTTGATGTAGTAAAAGCAGAGACCATTGAGGAGGACACACCGAAAGACGACGCCAAGGCTTCCCTTTGATTCGTATTACTACCGTACTGCTTCGTACTACTTGTACTACAACTACAAGTTGTAGCGTGGAACGCAGTCCCAATCGGAGTCAGGAAACCAACCAGCACGTAGGTCGGTGGCAGTTTTAACACTGTCGCCATGACTCAAGGTTTGACATGTGAATTCCAGCTTTGGCCTGTTTCGATTCACCATCGTTGACCCATGCATTCCTCTTGCTTCCTGTGGGAACTTCGCCATCATCATAGCCGCGCCTGCACGTCCTGTTTTCGCCGACACTTGACTGAGCGATTCACTCGGTGAATACTCTCTGTCCTTGGTCTCATCAACAGTCAGGGGGAGACCACAACCGATTTGAATACTGTAGAACGAGACGCGATGGCCTCTCGCGGTGGCCCCTTCCAGACTTTTAACCTGTCGGATCAAGAGCGGCAGCACTGCCACGACCGCGCGTTCCAACTACTCGATCGCACACTGCGCAGCTATGACGAGCGAGACGGCCAAGCGGAAAACGGCCGGTCTTCCGCTCCGCGCCACCATTCCAACCTGGACAACACGCGCTGGAAGCTACTCAAAACCCAGGCGGATGCTTCGATGTACACGGAGCGCAACTCATGCACGCTTCAAGACTATAATCTCCTCGGTGGCGACTGGGAAAACCCCGTCGTGCTCCTCATGGCGGGGACCATACGGGGCGACCTCGACGAGATCATGCTCGGCATCGAAACCCCCGACACGAGCAGCTTCAGGACGCGAACTGAGCTGTTCACAAAGCAGCCCGTGGACTGCGCCGTCTTGGCTGAATTAATGGGCCCAACCGAAGCCGATCCGTTCCGGTTCCTTGGCGTCACGTGGATGGTGTACGAGTACAACTGGCCAGTCAAGGCGATAGTCAAGCCTCGAGATTTTGTGACGCTGACAGCAACTGGCACGATGACTCGCGCAAATGGCGACCGCGTCGGATACGAAGTGGTGCAGCCCGCAAGACTAGCGCAGTGTCCCCCGTTGCCCGGCACGGTTATCCGCGGCAAAGTCATGTACGCCACGATATTCAAGCAGCAGGAACCTGGTGTTGTGGACGTCTTCATCCACACGTACGTTGAAACGCAGGGACGCATTATAGACAAGCTGATCGTGTCGGTCACGTGGAAGTCAAATTTGGGGTATTGGGGTGCCGACAAACTCACCGAAATGAAGAAGCTGCAGTGGTGCATAGCCAACTGCCGGTCCGAGCGTCAGAAGGAGCAGCAGCGAGCATCGTCGTCAGCTCTGGGTGTCTGCAAGCAATGTTACGATAGACGTAGTTTGATGAAGAGACGCAGCAGTGGAGATCGGGACGAGAATGAGTCATGCATTTTGTGTGCGTCGCCGACGTGCTACAAGTGCCGCATGGAGAAAACGCTCACAGTGATTGACGAGATCACAGGAAGGTTGACGGACCTACCGGTCGTGGTGTGCCAGCCGTGCTTGATGTTTGTGCAGAAACTTTCCCCCTCGGACATCGCGAGACTGAACCACAAACAGCGGCGACGACGGCAGCACCGCGCGTCGAACTTCGAATAACTCTACCTGTGTTGACAGTGCCACGTTATTGGAGACCGTGTTTGAACTTCAAACTTTGAAGTCCCTTTCGATAGTAGTCTCCGCCTAATTGAAGTTGGCTGGGTGGCCTGGTCGACGGGAAGTGTGTTAGTCCTAGATTTCCTCGCTTCTAGACACGCGATCCTTTAGCTGTTTGTCATGAAGCAATCGCTGCTAGCTGGGATCGCCCTCGCCTGCTTGTTTACTGTTGGCGGCGCTGCAGGAGCGGATAGTGCCGATGGATCGACAGAGGCCTCCACATCCACGAGATTGACTTGCGGCGCACAGCTGAAGAACATCTACTACCATGGCTTCAATCTACAGACGTCGACGGTGAGCAACGCAGCGGCGTGCTGCGATCTGTGCGCTGCGTACGACGGGTGCGTGCTGTACACGTACTTCTATTCGTCCAGCACGGGTCAAAGTCTCTGCTATTTGAAGAGCGGAGCGGGCGAAAAGACCAACTACGCGGACAGTTCCAGTGTGACGGCCGTATCGGCCTTCATGGTGTCGGCTACCAGCGCACCAACCCCAACGACCAGCACGCCGTCACCTAGTGCGACTCCATCTGCATGCAACGAGCAGCTTCAAGGCGTGTTCTACAACGACTACACCATCTACGAGTTCTCCGTTGACTCGGCTGACGAGTGCTGCCAGTATTGCTCGCAGCTAGCGGACGAAGGCTGCGTACTTTACACGCTGTACGTATCGATGAGTGAAAACGTGAAGCGTTGTCTGTTAAAGAGCGCAGCGGGCACAACCACGAACTATACGAACTCGGACGACCTCACAATAGTGTCGGCCTTCCTACCTGCATCAGCGACGCCTTCGCCCACGTCGGCAGACGAGTGCACGGTAGCTGAGGGTCAGTACTGCGGTAACGCACAAGGAACGACGTGCTGCGAGTCGGACAGCTACTGTCAGCCGTGGAACACCTACTACTACCAGTGCATCGGGCTTCCGGACGGCTGCGGCAACCTGGAGACGGACATTGACTACTATGGCAACGACCTCAGCAGCGCCTTGACACTATATCCTTGGTTGTGCTGCTCATTGTGCCAAGAAACCGAGGGCTGCAACGCTTACACGTTCGTCAATTTGGACCCAGCAGGACCCACATGTTACATGAAGACGAGCAGTGCCGGACGCGTCGCCAATGTCGGTGCGTTGTCCGGCGTGCCGTTAAACAAGGCATCCTTGTCGATGTGACGGACGATCTGCCGCAACAGACTTTAACACTCGACTTGAAGGCGTACGCTTCCTCTAATCAGAAGCGTAATAACTCAATCTTATTAAAAAGATGCTACGTGTTCTGTTCTTCATCCGTTGCTATACTGGATGCTGTTGGCTCCGGCGTGCTACGAGCTGTGAGCAAACAGTCCCTAGCGTACAATACGCTGCTTGATTCACCACTTCGAAGCACCCATGAGTCAGAAATCTCTGTTTACGCTTTGGATGCCTTGGCATTCTGGCATTCCCATCGGGACATCTTATCTCGACTGAGCACTTGGACCAATCAAGTGAACACTTGCCAGGTTCGCCATCACCAAAGCCGCTGCGTACGTCCACTTGGCCTGTCTAAAGACTTGACACATGGCTCCAGGCATCGCTGGCGCTGGAACTTCCAGCTGCTGGAGCTCGCGCTCTATTGCATGACCGGTTTCTGATGGTCTCCACTACAGAATCCGACAGCTCCACGCAAGAACCGTCGATGGGTTCGAAAGGAATCCCCTTCCAGGAGCTCAAGCTCACGGTCGACGAGGAGCAGAACTGCCGAGATCGGTCGTTCCAACTGCTGGATCGAACGCTACGCAGCTACGACGAGCGCGACGGCCAGGAAGATAATGGTCGACCTTCAGCCCCTCTGCATCACTCTAACCTCGACAACACGCGCTGGAAGCAGCTCAAAACCCAGGAAAACGCGTCGCTCTATGTCGAACGCAGCAATAGCGTGCATCGCGACGACAATATCCTCGGCGGTGACTGGAAAAACCCGATGGTATTCTTGATGGCAGGCACCATTCAAGGAGAGCTGGACGAGGTGATGCTCGGCGTGGAGACCCCGATCGTTGCCAGTCTACGAGACCGGAAGGAAGTACTAGCCATGCAGCCGGTAGATTGCGCTGTCTTGGCCGAACTAGCGGCCCCGACGGAGTCGGATCCATTTCAATACCTTGGGATCCAGTGGATGGCGTTCAGACACGGTTGGCCTCTCAAGGCAGTGTCGTCGCCTCGAGACTTTGTAACGTTAGCGTCCAAGGGCACCATGACACGCGCGAACGGCGACCGTATCGGCTACCAAGTGGTACAGCCAGCCAAACTCCCTCAATGTCCGCCGTTGCCCGGGTCGATGCGTACCAATCTCATGTATGCCGCCGTCTTCAAGCAACAGGAGCCTGGAATCGTCGATGTCTTCGTGCAGACATATATCGAGACAATGAGTTCCCTACTGAACAAAGTCGTGGTCTCAGCGACGTGGAAATCTACTATGGATTTATGGAGTGCGCCTCAACTGGCCGAGATGAAGAAAATGCAGTGGTGTCTTGCCAATTGCAAGGCTCAACGTCGACAACTGCAACGACAGGCTTCTCCGTCGGCGAAAAACGTATGTAAAAAGTGTCAAGAGATACGCAAGATGCGTGGCAGTGATATTGAGGACAAGACCGCTTGCGTCCTCTGCGTTTCGCCGACATGCTCTAATTGCCGCGTGGAGCGGACACTTGAGGCAATTGATGAACGAAAACTCAAGCTGATACAACACTCGGTCATTGTCTGTCGAGCCTGCATGGTCTTCGTACAACACATGCGACCCGTGGATATTGTACGGCAGACGTTGAAGCCATAACGTATATAAGCTTGCATTATCTAGCCAATTTATTCTACTTACTGTAAAAAATGATATTGCCATTTTCATTTAACGCTGAGCATGAAAAACACCACTAGATTTATTCTTTCACCACTAAACGGTATAATATCAATTAACCTACAGGAATAATTGGCTGCATCTTCCTTTTCGATGCTCTTTGCACTTGGTTGACACCTACGTCGGAAAGCGAGTTGATCATCCTGAGCAGATCCGACACTGAAATTGACGGATATCTTCCAGGGGAAAACATCGGCAAGCCCCATTCACCTCCGAACGCTGAATGCTTCTTCTTCTCACTCTTACTTTCGGTATTTTGTCGCGCCTCCCGTTGCTTCTGGTTGTCCAAGGCAATTTCGGTCGGCTCTTGGTGCTGTACGAACAGCATACACACGCGACAAACTGCAATGTGTAAATCCAAATTGCCGTTCTCATCCGGTTCTTTGAGTGTTCGCTTCACTCTGCAGCTTGAACATATCTGGACCATGCATAGTGCGCATGTGTTGTGGTCGCTGAGGTGGGTACTGCGACGTCTCGTAGTCGAACTTCTTTTGTTCGGACAGTTTTCGCAATGCCTTGCCTTGATGCCACTGCTGTCGTCGTCTAAAGTCACCTCTGACTTCCACGATAAGGCGTTTTTCTGGTTCAAGCACCACTGCAGTTTCTTGGCCTCCGACAAACTTGGTGCGTTCCAGAATCCCAACACGGATTCCCATACTTCAGCTACAACAAGTTTATCGTGTAGAGGACTGCGCGTTTCAACGTGCATCTGCACGAACACGTCGACGTCGCCATCGTCTCGTTGAGTGTAGATGACTCCGTACATGATCTTACCCCGCACTGTCGGCTTAGGGAGCGGAGGACATTGTGGTAGATCAATGGAGTGCACGACTTCATACCCGATGAGATCTCCGTTGGTATGCAGCATGACACCGGTCGCTGACGCGAGTATAAAGTCTCGAGGCTGCGTCACTAAGTTCAGTGGCCAGCTCCGCTGTCCCGTCATCCACGTGATACCCATGAACTGAAACGGATCGGTCTCGGTGGGGCCGGCAAACTGAGCCAAGACAGCCCCGTCTACGGGGTGTTTAAACAGTGTTTCCGCCCGAAGTTGAATAGCAGCAAAGTCTGGAGTCTCCAATCCGAACATAACTTCGTTCAGAGTGTCGTGAATGGTTCCCACGGCGAGTAAACTGCTGTTGCTACCTGGGGAATGGAAGTCACGCCACGGACTGTCCGATCTTTCAGCGTATAGCGAGACGTTCGCCTGGGTTTTCAGTTGCTTCCAGCGATTTCTGTCTAGGTTGGCGTGATGTCTTGGAGCACTCAAGTGGCTATCAACACATTCGTTTCGTTCGTCATAGCTGCGGAGAGTACGATCCAGTAGTTGGCATGTGAGGTCTTGGCACTGTTGCAGTTGTGTTTTCGTCAGATGGAGCGGCTCGAATGGGGAGCTTCTGCTGCGGTCGCCGAAAGTCATCGTAGCGCTAGGAGTTGCACTCAAAAGTAAAATGAAGAGTGCTGTGAGCCTGTCGGTAGCTTGTCCTTCCGCCGTGTCTCGGGTCTGCGCACCGAAGTTGACTCGTCTGAGGTTGATATCGCAATTTTGTATCGCGCTTGGCGCGTGACCGGGCCACCGAAAGGATTCCTTTCTGCGTTCCTTTAGGAACGCAGAGCAATTCTAGCAGAAATGCTGCACTCGTAACCACGCGAAGAAAGTGCCGGCGGCTTGGGGCACTTCAATTTGGAGAATAAGAATAGCAGAAGACAAATCTCGTATTTGATGCGCGCAGATGTCTACAGTCGTGCGCGAGCAAAATCCTTCACAACAAGTCGCCGATGTATATATGGTGTTTTGACATTAGAATACATGTACGTGAAATTCCGAATGCATAAACATCGGTGACTTGTAGCCTTACGCGATCTCTAAGTAGACCACTCACCATCGCCGTACAATCTTGAGAATCGAGGGTGTCGAAACGCGCAGCCTTTCACCACATTGTTAAAACGCACCACCATCCTTGTGAAGCGTTTCTTCTACATGTAGTATGTTTCAAGTATAACCTATATCGGGAATGTATCTACTATTCCTTAGCAATCTATTAGATACGATAAGTAAAAAAAAAAGAGCTCACCACTTGTAAGCTATACATGCTTACGTGTCTTCTTTTACTCACGACTAAGATGGATCCGTTCATTTTATTGAGGAAGCGGGAGACCTGCGTTTGCCGAAACTTCTCCGCCCAGTTGTGTGGCTAAAGTGGTGGATTATGGTCGTTCTCAAATGCTAGGTCAATGTCCTAAGGACATGCGAAATGGTCGTAACCAAGCCATTTGCCTTTCCAGTCGGGAAAGACGCAAGGTGTCTCGACGACGCGGATCCGTAGCAGTTTTACTCCCTCTGACGCAAGAAGAACAACGCAGGGATCCGGTAAACACTGGGTGTGTGGGGACTGTAAACTTTTAGAGCGGTTAAGCTCGAATTTTTTTAGAGCGTTGGAATAATTTCATGCATGCCAGATTTTTTTTTTTTGAAACTGATCAAATATTGGATTCGGAAATAATCAAAGCAGCAACACACATTTCTATCATATTATTGATTCAGTAAAGTAGTTTTTTGTTTTTTTTCCCAGTTTCAAACAGTTCTAAGGTTCAGTATTGATTGTGTGCGCGAAATGGATGACGGATAGTATTACAATATGTTCTCCCCTCCTCTGATATTGAGCTTTAGTTTCTGGAGATTGGAAAGAATTGTCAGAAAAGTCAAAATCTAATACGGTAAACTACCCGCTATTCCTATACTACTAGTGTCTGGGTATAAGTGTGAATAGTGACGGGTTGTCTTAGCGCTTTTCCAGCAATTCGTTCTCTGACCATATCTTTATTCTGTAATATGCTGCAGAATCTCAATTGGCATATTCGGAGGGTGTGTTGGGCCGCTACCAGATCTGCTGTGGCAGCCATAACCGGCGGTGACTATATCATGAGTGCTATCCGCAAAACCATTTGCTTCGGTGGATCACTAGTTTCTTTCGGCTCCCACGTTGAAAGTTTACAGTTGTGAGTCTGCAATCCCTGGGTTGGTGACAGGATTAGATTGTGGTCGCTGCGTCACTCTTGCTTGCTTGCTTCTCTAGATATATAATCTATAGAGATCTTTAGTTGGACAGCCCAATTTTGGAACAACGACACCTCGATAAAATCCAAATAAATGACTGATCGATTACAGTTTGATATTTTTTTATTTTTGGATGTCCTAGTGAAATTTCCGATAAATGAATAAATGACGAATAGATTACCGCTGGATATACCGTAGCATCTACTGAATCCGTCCGAGTTCATTTTATTGCATGTAATATAAAGTGAAAGCTAAAGTTATCTTTCGCCGGGTTATACCGGCTGTCATACAAAGAAATCGACGATCGACCGATGCTTCAGTGCTTCGTGCGAGCTGGTTTCGTCTCGGACGACACGCTGGAGTTTGCAGACTCTGGCTCGGAGAAGGACGCTCAGGATCGTCTATCCATCCAATCGACCCATAAGCAAGGCACGGAAGCACGACACGAAAACATGATAGGAAATAGAATCATGGACATGCATTGCACAGTGCGATTCGCACTCCGGTTGGCGCGAGGTTACTGACTCCATGGTCAGTTTGCGTTCCCATTCTGATACATAAAGCGAACGGTGCGATAATCGGATTCTTAGTCCGCTGGTCAGCGCGTTGTCCGCGCCGCTGAACTGCGAGCTGTGCCCTTGAAGCGGTCGAAGGCGGCGCTGATCGCTCAACAAACAGATATTGTCGCCTGAGCAGCCAACATGAACAGGCTCAATCACTTGCATTGGCACATGTCTGCAGTTCCTGTTTGCTGGTAAATCAGGAGAACCCCGTATAACCTCGCAAGAACACTGATAACACTCGCGTTCGGCCGCGGGCTCTGGTAAACGCCAACAATTGGGTCGAGCAACAGCAGTGGTCCAGTGAAAATTTTGGTGGCGACATCTTGCCGTCGGTAAGACGAAGCTTTGTCGAGACGAGCCTAATGCTCTAAGCCCGTAAACTGATCGCCGTGCACGGTTGTCTGAACCGAAAGACCTACAAAACGTAAAGTGTGTGATTAGCATTGACTGTGGTGTAGCTACTTGCCACATTGACCTCGACCTGTCCGCCATCGACACAATGCTCATGATTGACTTCGCATAGATCTTCGGCTCATTCTTGATTGTGCAACTTACGCGCGTCGTCCGAAGTGCCTCGAAGTTCCGTCGATAGTTGACGAGTATTGCCATGAAAGGCAAATGGAGTAAGAACGTGTTCCCACCGTTGAATCTCTCGACCGAGCAGGCATCGCAATTCCGCCACTTGGCGCGCGGCTTAGTGCGCGAGACGCTGGTGCACTTCAACACGTTTACCCACCTGCCCGAGGACGAGCGAAATTTGAGCAAGCACAAGCGCTGGAAGACCGTCAAAACCCGCGATAACCTCACGATCTTCAAGGAGCGAGATCCGCCCAAGATCATCACAGGCACGAGTTTTGACACGCCCGAGCACCAGCGCCTGGCCGCGGACGAATGGCAGATACCAAAGCTGCTGGTCGGTATCGGCTCCATTGTCGGCTCGCTCGACGACGTCATGTACGGGGTCGTGACGCCCGACGCCGAGTCCATGTTGCTCAAAGCCGCCATTGTACGCAGCTCCCTGGTGGACGGAGCCGTGCTGGCGCAGATTGATGGACCTACGCCCGAAGAACCCTATCGGTTTCTAGGAGTCAAGTGGTTCGTCAAGGGACCTCCCGCCACACTGCGGGGTTTCGTACAGCCTCGAGATTTGGTATTCGTAGAGTCTACGGGCATTTTCAATCGGTCAAACGGTGACCGTATCGGATACCAGCTCCTGCACTCAGTGGACTTGGATGGATACGGCCCACTACAGGAGCGCTCGCTAACGCGCGGCAGAATCTCCAGCTGCACGATCTTCCGAGAGAACCAAGACGGGAAACAGGTAGATGTGTACGTACGGGGCTACGTCGAACAGCACGGCAAACTGCTGGACTCGTTGGCGCTCAAAGCGGCGTCGACGGGGTTTCTGAGCTCGTGGAATGCTGTCGAGTGCAGCCACGTCAAGAAGCTCATGTGGTTCGTCGAGAACCCGCACCTCGTGACCTGGAGGGAGGAAGCCGCTGCTCGTGCACGGGGACCTGACGCTCGAACACCGATACGTTCACACGGTAGCAGCAGCTTTGATGGTCCTAGTGGTGTGCACTTACGCAATCTCAGTCTGGCCAGCCCCAACGATCGCTGTGGAGGTACCTGTGGCCGCAAGCTGAAGAAAGTTACCAGTGTCGGGTTGTGCTCTCTTTGTCAAGTACCGATGTGCTCCAAATGCCGCGTTACCAAGAAACTGGCCTACGCTACTTGCGAACTCAAACTCGAACGTCGAGAAAGCATCATCTGCCGGTCGTGCGTGGCAAAAGTGCGGCTCCAGCCCGTGCGTCGGATTGCACAGCAGGAGATCCGCGAAGGCCGCTACCGCTGGCAGGCTAAGCAGCCTCAATCTATGAAGCCTACATCGTCGTCAACTTCGGGATCGCTTTCTCATGAATCAAGCGCGAAGCATACCGCATCCTCCTGTGGTACTACAGGATTCCTGGACCAACAACAGCCTCTTGTCCAGGCCGCAAATGCTCGAACCGAGTGCCAAACCAAGCCTCGTTGGTTCAGACGTCGCAAGAAGAGTGAACCGAATAGTGTGGCGTCCAGGCCTGTGTTGTTTGGTGAATCCACGACGCTCAGCGACTGTCAGTTGGGTGCGCTTTCGCAGTGTTCGACGGCGATTGACTCGATGAGTACGACCTCGCCGATCAACCCGCTGGCTTACAGCTGGACGTCGTCCTCTCAGGAGAGCGAGTGCCGCGCCCGGGTTGAAGAAGATGACGATCAAAAACACCCGAGTTCACGGAAAACCAACAAGAGCGTCGGCAGCTCTGGCATCAAATGACGGAGCTGCGGCTCGCCGTGGAGAACACGTACCAGATCGCCAAGCAGACGACGGACTCGTGCTGTGGTCCGAGCTTTAGTCCCCTAGGGAAAGCGAGTGTCAAGTACTGAAGACCGGAATGGGTAAATGTGTCTCGAAATATTAGGGATGAAAATGCTCCAGTGCTAAAATACATTTTGAAATAAGTAATAAAAAAAAAACCTGCTATTCATGTTGAAGTGACCCTGCAAGGCTGCAAAAAAATTGCAACAACCGAAGTTGTGCGAAGTCATGCGTCGTCGAATTACGAGCTAAGGTTGCCGTGGTCAAGGCAAGCCTGTCATACCCAGAGCGTTCACAGTGTTGCAGCTGCATGCGTCAAGACGAGAACGTTGCTCGATTCGTGCACCAAAAAGGAGCCCAGACAACTTGATCGATTGTCGAACAAGAGTCGAAGGAGGTTGCCACTATCGTTCATGGTGAGCTGCACCCTGCACCTAGTGACGAGGTCGTGCGGGTGTAAGACCACGGCAGTGGCGAGAGGCGGCTTCAAAGTCAGATTGCCATCGTCCAAAGTTCAGAAGTAGCCAACCCGATAAAGGATACACTTAACGGCATTTCAGAACCGGGAAACACGGTCTCGAGTGTATCTGTACACTTCACAGTGTAATGATGGCAGATACTACTGCACCAAATAATAAGTCGCGAACGAAATCTCAGATTTCAGACAAGCGGGTGTCAGGAAGTGGCACGCCCAAGTCTCTCGTTGCACTCGTCAACTCACGGTCGCACCGGACTCACTTACCTCTGTAGGCTGGACTTAGGCGTCTAAGTGGCTATCAGCTACCTCAGTCTTGCGAGAACCTCATCAGTCTTCATTTTGGTACCTAGCACACAAGTCGAGTATCGCCATGACACGACGAACGAGCGACGCTGATGCTGCTGCGGGTTTCAGCCCTACGACGTGGACGACCAACGTGCTACCTCCCGTTGAGCTGTCGAATGATCAAAGGGAGAAATACCGCCTGCTGGCTACACAGTTGCTGTCGAATACTCTCCGGGACTATGACATTTATTCAGCCGACCCGAGACAACGACCTATGAGTCGACGGCGATGGAAACCCGTCAAGACGAGAGATCACATCACGGTGTACAAGGAGCGCTACCCGACGCCGAGCTCTCTGGCGTCTACAAACCTAGATGCTCCACCACGAACCAGTCGGGCTAGCCTAGCGGACCGAGTGTCTATGGCATTTCGTGGAAATGAATGGACGGAGCCCAAGCTACTTGTCGCCACGGGTTGGATTGAAGGCACACTCGACGACGTCATGTATGGCGTCTCCTCCCCCGATGCACAGAGCATGTTAATGAAGGCAACAGTAGTCAAGAACACGTTGGTCAATGGTGCAGTACTAGCCTGCATCGATGCCCCCTGCGACGCTGACCCATTCCGGTTCCTCGGTATTAAATGGTTCGTGAAAGGCCCTCCTACTGCTCTTCAGGGCATTGTGAGGCCTCGAGACTTAGTGTTTATTGAAGCTACAGGGATCACGACCCGACCGAATGGAGAACGCATCGGTTACCAGCTTCTCCACTCTGTGGATCTGCTTCAGTATCGTGACATGACGCCACGGTCCGGGATGGAAGTGACGCGCGGGCGGATCTCTAGCTGCTCCATCTTCCGGGAAATACCAGCAGGACTTGGAAGTAGACACTCCAAGGTCGACGTGTACGTCAAGGGATATGTGGAGGCACATGGTAAGCTCCTGGATTCGGTGGCACTTACGGCTGCGTCAACAGGTCTGATGAGCTCCTGGAACTCAGTCGAGTGCGCCAACCTCAAGAAACTCATGTGGTGCTTCCGTCAACAGCCTGACTGGAGACGTGGCCGACGTCGCGACAAACATCGATCCAGCCAGCGCTCCCACGTCAGCAGCAGCCTGAGCTGCTCAAACATGAGTCAAAATGGCACCAACACTAACAGTATGAACACTTTAAACGGACCACCTCCAAGACAAGAGTCTCAGGACTCTTCATCTAGATGTGGCACATGCATCAAGCGTCTGACAAAGCTAAGCGGTGCGATCTCCTGTGCGCTATGCTGTCAGAACACTTGCTCTCGCTGTCGAGTCTTACGGACACTGAAAGAGGTGAACAAGGAGCTGTGGCTACGTCAAGAAGACGTGCTCATCTGCAAGCGCTGCGTGCTTCGTGTGGACAATCTCGCGGCCGTGGACGTCGCGCGTGCCGAAGTTGACGCAGGCTGGTTCTCAATGGAAAGTATCGCTGCTCGTCACGGTCGCTCAAAGAGCTTCGCCAGCACAGGCGTGACGACGGACACAGGTGCGAGCATTATGACGCTGCCGACAGAGGAAGAATACTCACTCTCTATGCTGTCACCGACTACAGATCACCCCATCGATTCGTTCCGCGGCGTCGAACCAGCAAAGGAGCCGTACCCAGATATCCCCGAACACATTGAAGAGCACAAAGTAGAGAAGGAAAAGGTGACGCTGTCGGACCGTGAGCGCCGTGAACAGATCTGGTCGCAGATGGTGGAGCTGCGCATGGTGGCCGAGTCCATCTACAAACTCACTCTCGAGACCACCGAGTCGCTGAACACCGGTCCACAGCGGACCACGGATGAGTCATAGCAAATGATAAAGAATACGCTATACACACAAATGCATTACAATTCCTGAACGAAAACCTGACACGAACACTCTTTTCTTTCTTCATCCTCACGTTAATTCAGCAAGTCGGTCATCGCACTGTCGGAGCGTGCTAGGGGCGAGTCCAGCATACACAAGCTCTCGACGGACGCCGTGCAGAAGCTGTTGTCAAGCGAGAAGTTGCGCGCCAGAGCATCCAACGTACTGGGTGTGAGCGGGTTGAGCACCTCGGGGCGCTGTGGACGCAATGTTTCCTGTCGTTGCACCTCCTTGGCGTCGAGTTGCTTGACGAACTCGCGACAAGGAGGACAGATCCGTACCGGGAACTTGCGTGCCCGGAAGTACGGGTCGATCTCGTACAGATCCTTCTTGACGCGGCAGCTGGAGCACAGCGGCGCCTTGCACAGGTTGCAAACTCTGTGCGCGGCCCTGGACTGCCAGATCTTATTAGCCACACTCTTATCGCACGACGCGCAGCGCTTGGCCAGCTTGGCGCGGAAGGCCTTGACGCTGTTGCTGTGTATGCGGTGGTCGATACACCAGCGCAGTTTCTTAGCGTAAGCAAAGTCGGGTACGGTCCAGACCTGCTCGATACATTTAGCGGCGTGGGCCATGGCCAGTGGCCCCAGAATGCTACCCATGTCTGCCTCCATGCTGTAGCTCTTGATGAACAAGTCGACCGTTCCATTGGGTCGTTCACGATAGATGGAGCCGATGACGATGCGTGTACGGCGAAGGCCGTCGACGGGCGGGAATGCAGGGTGGTCGATCGAGTGGTGCACCTCGTAGCCGATGAACTCGCCCGTATCACGACGTCTCATTGTGCCGGTGCCTCCTAGGAACATGACTTCTCTAGGAGCCACAAGTTTACCGGAGACGCCTCGGGGTGGACGCACCTCGATCCATTTAAGAGCGAGAAACCGGAACGGGTCTTCCTCGGTCGGACCCATGAGCTGCTTCAGCACGGCGCCGTTGCCGATGTTCTTGTCCACGACAGCGGATTTAAGAGCCATAGCTTGGCTGTCGCCCATAAAGACGCCGTACATGAGCTCGCTGAGTGGGCATTGTACGTAGCCCATGCCCAGTACGACGTCCTTGGACGGGCGCGACGTGGTACTGCGTCCGCCGTCCGCCGCAACGTACGCGGCCTCGGGCGCGTCGTCGCAGCGTGTGTATGTAGTGAAGTGGTCCTTGTGGTGGATCTTTTTCCACAGCCGTGGGTCCTGCTTATCATGCGGGCGCGGCTCCACGTCGTGCTCGTCCAAGTCGCGCAGTGTGCGGTCTAGCAGCTGCATGGCCATCTCCTGGAACTTGAGCTGGTCCTCCTCGGACAGCTCCGCAGCCTGGCGCGGCGGCTGCACGGGCACCGACACCATGGCTGAGGTAGATCTCGTTGGTCTGGAGAGGCGAATTCAGGTCTGGCAGCTAGAGAACGCAGGACCATGCAGAGATAGAGAGCGGCATGCCGGGAGGTGGTGATGGCGCATGTGCTACGTCGAACGAGAAGGTCTCCCTGGACCTGACGACGATAGTTTTACGAGGGGTGATATTGTATAGAATTTGATAGTAAATCTACATAAACCTGTGACTATTAGTGAAGCAAATCCGTATAAGGTATGGAAAGGTTACTTGATATCGCAGGATTCGCGTTTTGATGACCCGAGGCTGGAGCATCCGTCGTGGGATGTTCGGGACCCGGCAGAGTCTATAGCAAGCGGGTTCAACTGGTAACTATGGCATACAAACATTGCTTGTCCTTGTCAAGTTGCCAAACACGAAGTTGTACTGTAGCAGCCTGAGCTGAGCATTGCTGTTTAGTTTGCTCAACGAATGGCGCATGCGCTTGACGACTAGCAAGTTGCTATTGCTCATAGTTCTTCGACGGCAT